AAAATATTTTAAAGTTGGAAACTTGTGTCTTGTTAATAAAATTGTATGAACTTTATTTGTTTGATTGCATGTAGAAATATAATTGTAAATATCATCGATTGTATGGAGCTAAAGTGAAAAAAGACGAGATGATTATTTGTAAAAGAGTAGAGTGATTATTTCATTTGAACTTACTGTTCGAACATAATAGTTTACTGGAATAATTTTTCTTACAAATTCTTTAATATGGGTTTCCGAATAATCATTTTCATCAAAATGATAAACTTTATTTTGACTGATTCCAACGAGACATGGATTGTCAATAATACCTAACTCATTCGATACCCATCTATCTCGGATATTAAATTCTCCCGTACCAATACCTATGTATATAACAAAGATGTTAAATAAATAGAATCAACAAAATTTTTGTAGAGTAAAAAAAAAAGTAGAAACTTATTTTACCTACATCGTCGAATTGCTTTTGCATTGATCGAAAAATCGAAGCTGGTTGTTGACACCGTATACAAAAATTGGTACTACCAAATAGAATATATGGTTTTATATGACTATTGGGTAAAATATCATTAATTAGTTCTCTGAAAAAAACATTTATAAAATATAATTGAATACTAAAAGTAAAATATTCATACCGAGCATTTATCGTTTTCTTTGATCCATGAGGTGTATCACTGAAGAAATAAAAATTACCAAATTGTGAACGAAACATATCGTACGGATCACGAAATCCATAACTGCCACGCTGTGAATTATCATTGGATGTGGTACCATATTGATCATAATTTGATTTTTTCTCAGAATCACTCAAAATCTAAACATATTTTAAAAGAAAAATGTTTATATAAAGACAAAAATTTCTTGATGAAAAGATAAAAAAATTTTTTTTAATCGAATTATCTTCTCACCGACTCGAGAGCATAACTAAAATCTCATATAGTTTCAATTTACTGTAATAATTAACATCAATTTACAACATAACATTTTATATTCTTACCTCATAGGCAGCATTTATTTTGGTAAATTGATCATGTGCATTTGCTTCACTGTTTTTATCCGGATGCCTGAAATGTAAAGAAAAACAAAATGTGTATATATATATACAGTCGATTAAAAGGGCACTCACCAATATTTTGCTAATTTTTTATATGCTGCACGAATTTCTTTATCCGTGGCTGATTTTTTCAAACCAAGTACATCATAAGGATTAAAATCATTCGTATTACTATTAAATAATGGTGGTTGAATAGCAAAAACAATAAAAATTATTGATAAATATATATGTGATTTCCAATGAATCGAACACATTTACAATCTAAAATCATTAAATTAATTGTTAGATAATTTTCTATAACAATGAAAAAAATAATAGATGACACATCAAATATTTATCAATCACGTGGAAATAGTAAATAAATCATTTACATTACTCGCTTTTTCAAGTTTTTCTTTATGGTATTTTAATTTTTTGATTTTGCCTTGTTAACAACGTTGTTTTCGTTGTATAGCCAACAGACAGACGGCATGATTTTATAAATATTCTAAGTCTCTTCTACCATAAAGTTAGGAGATGTATATACCTTTTTCACTAAGTTTTCTTCAGTAAAGTAAATAATCTATTTACCATTTACCTAAGTAAGTAAATGAATTGTTTACTATTTCTGTGCGATCGATAAATACTTGACGTACCATTTACAATTTTGGTTTTAAATTGCATTTAGAAAAAGTGACACCTCTAGACATAATTGATGAATATCGCAAACTCAGATCGATAATTCATCAAATCAATTCATTTTTGTAGATGGATATAGCCTGGATCTAGCTGTTGATAGTACTGCTATGATCTTTCACAGCGAAAATCAGGCAACGATAAACTTTAAAAGAATTTTACAATCCACCGCTATTCATTTTCTTTTTCTTTTTTTTTTTCAATTTGTTTTTAATGTTTCCATTTTTATATTTTGATCTAGTTTGCTGTTTATCATATTTATTTCTATCACATTCATTAGATAACAATTAAATCTCCTACGCTCAAATGAACGGTATTTTACCTTTATTTCTGTCTTCTATGACACCAATATCGTCTTCAGCACTCGACTGTTGTGCACGATCATTTTATAATCGATTATATTCAACTAGTCTAGAAATAAACAGAAATACAACAACGTGAATTTAGAATATAAATGGCGTTGATCAACATATCGTTTAACCATTTTGAACACTTAATTACAGTCAAATATAACTTCAAAAAAGAAATGTTATATTTGAATTCTTTGATTCATGTTTAGAGGTGCATTTTAAATAACTGAAATCTCCTTGAATGCATTTCTTAGTGTAAGATCAAGCCGTGCTGGATTTCATGCAAAAGACAACAACGCTTAATAAATAAATTCTAGCCATATCTATTAAAATATGCGTTTTCATAACACTAATAATAAAAATGAGTTAAAAAAGTTGCCACAAACGTTCTTTAACGAGCATCTTCATGCATATAATTGAATAAAATAAACGTATAATAAGAATGCATAGGAAAAAAAATGTACACATTAGTTAAGAAATAAATTTGTCATTAATATACAATAAAAAGAAAAGAGTAGACAGTGTTTGCTTAAACAAAGAAAAAAACAGCATAAAATCTGGATCAAAAATCATCAGCTCATATAACAAGATACCATCATATCCTGGTGAAAGAAAAACATATCTGAGTTACAAGAGAATTATTGTCCTTCCTCCTACATCTGATTGTTCAAAAGTTTCACAAAGAAGCTAGACCAGAAAATTTGCGAAGTTGTTCCATAACAACAAAAATAACAACTGTCTGCGGTCCAAGTCTAACGTATTGAGCTGACCAGCCGCGCAATAATCCGCGAAATCCTTCTTTATGCATCAGTTGTTCCGTACATTCTACAAATAACATAAACTCAAATTATTAATAATAAAATTTTACTTTAAATGTCCATTATTGTTTTACCAACGACTCCAAGATCTCCCATTGCAAACATATTGGTCTTGATCATGTCCAAAGGAGCAGTCACTGTTGTCGTAATTAGACTAAAACAAAGCAAATATAGAGAAAAACATTATTTAACTTTAAGATTGAACATACCCGGTGGTTAAAGAAGCACCTAAATGAATTTTTATTCCGTCCTCCCACCCTGTGATGTTTGTCCAAAGTCTTTTAGCATGATCGTATGTAACACATTGAGACGCTGTTAATACTGCAAAGATTGAGACAAAAATATCAACTTTGTATTATATATACCCGAAGATTGCATACCTGCTGTTCTCACTACCGCGGGAGTCGTTCCCACCTAAAACGATGACACAATCAAAACTGAAGAATAACCACCACCAGAAACAATCAGCAATATTAATCTTGAGATATACAATAAATAAATTATTTATTTATTTATTTACAAAAAGTAAGAGTTATCAAAGGTCCCCGACCTGTAATAAATAACAAGGACTTAAGCCAATAAAAGAGTAACGACAATTCGACAAAAGAAAACTAGAGTAACAGACAAAGACAGATCAAGTAAACAAATGAAACCAAAGTAAAGCAAAAGAGTAAAATAAAAAAATTAAAACGGAGAAAAACTAGCACAGGTATGGGTTGACTAGAAATATGGCTGTATTTTACTGTAAGATATGTTAAGATAAAGCTCTTTTAAATGATGATAAAGAAGACAAACAAATCATTGATTCTGGTAATTTATTCTAGTCAGTGACAGTTCTATAAAAAAAGGAGGATAAAACTGTTTGTAAAGAAAGATCGTTAACAAGAATTTGAAAGCGAACGTGTTTAGAGTGATGAAGGCGTAAAGAAGTGTAGTGGGGACGATGACCAGGTTTGTGAACAGCTATCCGTCACACTGGCAGGTCTGCAGGGAGAAATTTGTCCCTGAAGAGAAGAATAGCAAGAGAAAAATGAGAATTAAAGAGTTCGGCTTTGTTCACATCAGCGGAAACAGATTTAGAGCCAAGAAACATAGATTGAGGTAGAGTGGAGTGAGAAGAAGATAATTTTTTGATAGAGCTCCAGAATCTACGAGGATCCGAAAACAAGGAAGAAAGAGAGCGGGGGTAAGACGACTTTTCACGATGATAAAGAAAGAGAACAAGATTTCTTGCCTTACGAAACTCAGCAACACATTAGAAAACGACGGTTACGGATAGAGATGACTCCAGAGTAGATATAGTACGAACAGGCACCAGTGGAACGAATCTACAGATAGCGTCATTTACGTACTCAGTCCAAATATGGACGACCGTGTCCTCCAACCTAAAGATCATACTTACCCATAGACCGTGCACACCATGTGTTCTTATGACATCTTTGACAACGTGAATCGAAGAATGATATGGGGAATTTTTTTGTTGTAGTTTTGTTTTTACTAGATCAATAGGATTAGAAGCAATTGCAGCTATTGAACCAGATATACATCCGGCAGTTATATTTCGAAAAAATGAAATTGTTCGACTATTATGATTCCCCGGTAAGCTTTTTAGCATATTTTTAATTGGTCCATAAAAACCCAATCTGACACCTCCATAAAATAGACCTATAAACCACAAGATTGAGATTAAAGAGTATAGACCAAATATTCGCTTACCTCTCATTAGTGAAGGTGTTAAACCAGAATAAAACGCTCTTACACCCTCTTTTCGTGCTATTGTATGAGCTGTTTTTATTAGACCAGCCCTTAACAAAAAAAGGAATTAATAATAATATTCATTCATATCAATTTCTATCAGAATTATTACTTCATGGCTGATTTCGAGGATGTTACTGTAGAATTTGCTAATTGTAAACGGACTTTGAGAACGTCAATTGGTAAAGTTGCAAAATTAGCAATGCTGACGCTTAAACCACTCGTAATAAACTAGATGAAACGCAAAAAATTTGTACTAAAAGTTTTTCTAATGTGATATTGGCTTGGTATTGTTCCATAACGATCTTACTTCTTTCAAAAATGGATGATAGTAAAACCAATTTTCTGTAAGTCTACTACCAGATTCTTCTAATGTGATTTTTGTGACATCAGCACTAACTGCCATGTTACCCTACAAAATGAAGAAGTACTATCACATATACAATATTTCATGTATTCTAGCACCATTTACCTGCAATTTAAAATAAAATAACTATATTTAAATATGAAAATCTGTGAAGATTAATAGTGTCAAAACTAATAAACACGCGTTTAACGATAAGCTGAATGTATGTTAAGAATGTTATATTAAAATGGTGATGGCATTGAACAACCGATCAACATATAATGAAAATAGTTAACAAGAGAACGGATACTATAAAACATAATGGTAATGTAAATCTAAAAAAGTAAAACTACACAAACAAATAATAAAAAAAGTCAAAACTAGGCATCCATAAATTTTATCCATAAATCTCTATTATCAACGTGAAATTTTGAAATTTTACGGCGATAGTAGAGATTTATGGATAAAATTTATGGATGCCTAGTTTTGACCAATAAAAAAATACAACGGGAAAATACGTTACAGAAAAGTTTGCACGGAGAACATTGCTAGTAAAATAAAAAAACAACAGTACCGTACTGTAATGTCACGATGATCCTTGAAATCTCCAAAGAAGTTTATAAAATACGAAAGTAATTACATGAGTGTATTATAGTTCACAATTCTGATGTTTTCTGTTAGCTATTTGCTTAATACAATTCTAAAAAAGAAGACAAAAAAATTGTGTGAATCATAGTTTTTAAACTTTTGTTTTCAAGATTTTTTTCAAAAGCCTTTTCATATGAACTTGGACAATTCAGATCTCTACTCTGTTCTCTCTTATTCTAAGTTAAAATTACGAGGAAACCTTCCAGGTGTCCACTTCCGTTTTCTACGATAATGTGTTTGTCGATAGAATATATTCTTGTAAGAAAGCCCAAAGGGATTTGTACCCTTATTGCTTCTTTCAAAAGTTATAAGTTTTTTTGTTTGCTTGTAGAAAACGTGGTAATAACAAAGTTTTTGTATACCAGTAAAACCAACGAGATAAGGGCTGAGATTTCCTGCACCTGTGCTAGTATTTCTGTTAATATCACAAAATATTCAAAGTTCGTACTGTTCTTAATCTTATTGGATGCCCGCTACGATGAAAGAAAAGCAACCGCAGCGAAAAACAGAAGATTATAAAAAGAAGTGTGAGTCAAAGGAAAAACCGCTGCTTCAGGAAACATGATTTTACTTAACGAAGCAAAAAATTCAATTACTCATCATGTTCGATCGACAACTGAACGAAGGTGGACACACAGAGACGATTCCTCGTTAGACACACATCTCAGCTTGAGTTTTCCTCATTGTATCAATAGTTCTGAAATAAGTCCTGAAGGATAACGACATGAAACATCACTCATATTTTTAACATAACTGAGATGTGAATGAACTAATGTGTACAATTGAACGTGGCTTTATTCGGAAGCTTGATTCTGTTCAAAGAACGGAAGAAAGAAAACCAATCAAAATTAAAACATACGTTACGACTAATAGCGCAGTCAGTCAGTAATGCTGAGTGAGCGACACAAAAAAACTTTCGACTATTTCGCTAGAAGAATTTCGGCAAACACTGTCATTCCGCATCATGGGCTGTTATAAGCAGACTATTCCACTGAGACGGGCATGAATCAGTGAAAATTATACCTAAGTGCATGCACATATTAAGGAAATAGGTAAATATTTAATTCGTACGTTTTGTTATTCTCGTATGTTTAAATTTGTGTATGCCATGAAATTAAATTAAAAACCAGTTTTTCTACTTTATATGCAAGAAGAGGAGTTCTTGAATCATGATGGTGGCTAATGGGTAATCACTGGAAATGTCAATAAGCATGTATATTCGACAATCTCGCACCACTGTCTACCTCCAAAATTAGTGTTAAATTAACCCATTACGGTAACGGGCAAATTCACTGATGAGAATAAGAGAGTCATTACTATGATCGACATCTATTTTAATATTTTTAGAAGTTCTGACTCAGAAATGAATTTCGGTACACAAAATGTGGTAAATATATCAAAAAACGATTTTGTTTTTTTGAAGAGAAATAGCTTTCTATAAAATCTAAAACTATTTTGGAAAATATTGAAGAAAATAGAGGTTTAGAGAAGTTCCACGACAACGGTGACTTTCTGTAGTTAAAAAGACGTACTGTTAGACTATCTTGACCATGCGTGGGTTCGCATGATGTGAATGTTAATTCTTTCGTAAAATTTCTAGTGAACAGCATAATTCCTTTTTACTCTCTAACGGATAGAAAAACAGCTTCATCCGAGAATCTTATTTGTACAAAATAAATTTATGTAATTGCACAAAGCTTATCTACGACAAGACTTTCTAGGAAGTTTGTTTTTGTCAAGCAAAAGATTTTGTATAGGAACGACTTTAGCGAAAAATGCTTCCTTTATCTGAATAAGTCGATCTGTTGTTGCTTTAGTAAAAGAATGATATCGATCTGACGAGATTTTAACTATATTGTCATGCATACTTATTTTACATTTGAAACAACATTGCTCTTTGTAGATTTAAAAGTCGTTGAAAAAATCCTTTTACCATGTCTTCCAAAGTAACAAAGGTAATTTGAAGAAGCTTAATCATGTTTACAAAATATTTTACTTTTGCACTATTATTCTTTGTGCTATAGGACATGTTATTTGAAACAACACAAAATGTGTTAACGTATGCAAATGAGGTAAAATTTTGATATTTCGTTTTCCTTCCACGTGAAGAAGAGACTGTTTCCATGTTTAAAACTGCATTATTGGTTTGGTTATGTTTAGACAAAAAAGCGTAAATTTGTCGAAACAGTTGAATTACAAGTAGCGTTAAAAAATTTTGATCCAAGCCGTGACAAACGTTTCAGTGGTACCGTTCGACTACGTTACACACCAAAACCCAAATTTGCTGTGTGTGTATTGGGAGATGAACGTCATTGTGATGAAGCTCGTGCGAATAATATACCATGCATGACAATTGATGATTTAAAGAAATTTAATAAAGATAAAAAACAAGTGCGAAAACTATCTCATCAATATGATGCATTTTTAGCCAGTGATGTTGTCATTCGGTATGTTCTCGCTTTTCTTTGGCTTGTGTTCTATTTTGTATTTATTTATTCTTTACTTTTATTCAGACAAATACCACGTATACTTGGGCCGGGTTTAAATAAAGCTGGCAAATTTCCAACAGCTATAACACACAGTGATAGTTTAGTACAAAAAGTCGAAGAAATCAAATCTACAATTAAGTTTCAAGCAAAAAAGACCATATGTCTATCGGTTGCTGTTGGTAACGTGAATATGAGTGTCGAAGAATTAGCTGCCAATATTAATTTATCGGTTAATTTCTTAGTATCTTTATTGAAAAAAAATTGGCAAAATGTACGATCATTATATGTTAAAAGTACGATGGGTAAACCACAACGTCTTTATTAGAAGAAAGACTCATTTTTAGTAAAAATGAAAGTTTTGTGGGGAAACAAGAGAAAAGCATTTGCAATTTTTTTGTTCATCCTTTGTTTTTTTCTTTGTTATCTAAACTGTTGTCATCCACAAGAAAAAAGTTGAAATAAAAATTAATATCTCAAAGAGGCACTTGCTTCCACTGAAATGTTGAACCGAGTTAGCAGATTTTTGAGTTAAAAATAAAAAGTGTGACGTATCATAATTAATGTAAGCTTGACCTCACAAAATATCAGCTGGTTTTCATTGTACTTATGTTATCTGAGCACTTTTTGAAATTCAGGTTTCGATTAAGATTATCTTTTCGTCTTGCATTATCATAAAAAAAACAAGTAAACGCAAGTATTTAAATAAGAGTGCAGAAACATTAAATATTAACTTCACAGTGTCTAGTACTTTTTCTGATCATGTAATGCATGTTGAGTAGAACATATAGAACAAGTAGAGTTTATTTTAATATGTTTAATCAGCTTAATTCACAATGATTTGTTTTGTTCCTTTCACATTAAAACCACTAATATCATTCTTCGAGAATACTAACGATCTTTTTATAATCACGGTCGAAAAATGTATGTTTATTTTTGTTTTTTAGATCTTGTGTCCATAAAGCTATGAATAGTACAACGAACACATATCGTGAATATTCTGGAACCGAAGGGTAAGATCTATAGTTTGTTTTTACTTCTTGTGTTATATATGTACAGTGAAATTTGCGATCGGAAAAGTGGAGGGCATGACCACCCACTTCTCCGATCCCAAGTTTTACAATGTGCATATCTTGGAAAGAAAGTCATGTTTTATAAAACTAGCTGTCTTATTCTGTGTTTCATATGAGAAAGTTTACAAACATTCGTTCTAGTAAACATGATAGTTTTTCCTTTACTTTTGCCTTTTAATGTGAGACTATTTTCATTTTATTACCGACTTTTTATACTGTACATAAAATAATATCATCAATGGTTAACTCACCGTTTCTAAATTTATAGCATATCAATCATTTACCTGGCTACATTTCTCAGAATTATGTTAATACTAGTAATAATCATAATAATTAAACATGTGCATGCTACTTTTTGCAATGCGAGCACTCTCGTTACATTTTTCAGTGTGAAAAAAGAGAATTCTCTTTCGTTCTTCACTATGATTTCTAGAAGTCTGTCGCTGATTTGGCATTCCACAGGTTAACAAAATGAACGATCAACTTATTTGCTGTCGCACTGGTTTCTTAAGATAAAGTGAACTTAATTGTTTAGTATTTAACACAAATTTACGAAAAGCAGGTTCCTGTCTCTGCGTTTATTAGACTATTCGTATAAAAATAAAAGTAGTGGCTATAAGAAAGTAAAGTTCAATTAGCTTCCACTTTGGCCCTTTTAAACATTCTACACTTGTTACTTTTACATTTTTGTTCAGAAATCCAAAACAATGTCATAGATAAACGGATTCTGCTGTTATAAAAACTTGGTATTAGTAAAGGAAGAACAAACTAACTGTGTAAATTTATTTCACTGCTTGCAACAGATTGAATAAAGTGAAGATGAGTGAAAAGAATACACAAGTAAACCAACTATTTGTCAGAGGAGAAAAGGATAGAAATCTCCCCTGCTGAAATCCAAAAATTTGGCAATGTTGTCAGAGAGAGAAAACGAGGCAGAATTAGAGATATTCTATTTTTCATTTTTATCAAAATATATCAGCGGCGTGTATGCGTATCATGTAATTTTAACTATACATACAAATGCAGCAGTTAGCTGTCCAGAAAAGAGAGAGAAAAGACAAACGAAAGGAGGACTGTAAATTTTTGTCTTATTTGAAATTATACAAATAAACTGTAGAATCATTCTTGTGTAATGAAAACGAAAGATATCGTAGTTTTAATAATAAGATAAGTCGAAACTCTACCGATAGAAACTTTAGCCGGCAAACAACTACCATAAATAGTTATCTCTCAGAATATGACGTTTGGTTGTCTAAGTACTTTCTATTATTATATCTAGTCAGGGTAGTCAAGAGTTTCTCAGCTACTCTTATATAAAATTCTACTCATGAGTCGGACATCACTGTATTTATTAATTGCTTTACAATTATGGCAAGTCCCACGGGACTCCCGGTCAACTCCGGAATCACTCTTCTGTTTTGCCAGTGATATAAGTAGACAAAAAGAAAAACGGTGCCACTGGCAAGAATCGAACATTTGACTCAAAAATGTTTCAGAATCAAGTATATAAGCGGTCAGCTGAAAACGAAAAAGGTCCCGCGGACTGCTGTGGGAGTCCCACATTGAAGTCCCACTGGAGTCCGTAATGGCATGAGGCTTTCAGCGGAAGGCTCGTGGGACTCTCGACTATGGCAGTAACAGAAACACATGCATACTCAAACAACAAATGTATAGCACTTAGCTTCAGCAAGATCTTATATAAAATGGGTTTAGAAAATAAAATGAAGAACTGTTTATTGCACATTTTAAATTGTATCACTTCAATAAGAGCGTGCACATGCTCTAGAGTTGGTAAGAGGAGTATACAGTTTTAGAACCGAGATAATAGAAGCAAGAGCAGTGAGAAACGCCCTTTACGTTCATACATCTTGACTCTTACACCGCTTCATGAAACCGAGTATTTTTTCTTTCTATTCTAGTAGTGATACTGACGATGAAACGTTTAAGGATAGGCTTCAAAGTAGTCCATCCGCTCTGTCACCATACAGACGAACAGTTAGTTTTAAGACCACACGTCAAACCTCATTTTCTGGTCCGTCTGCAGCGACATCGCCATTAACAAAAAATACACGTCGTGAACGACGACGACGAACAAATAGTCATTCGAAACAAGAACGCGTTTTTTATACTAATCGTAATCCAATTTACACAGCAGGTAAGGAACTTTAGCACTCAGTCTCAAAACTAAACCAGAAAAATGAATTCTATTAACATCGAGTCAATTGCATAGCTATAGTCTAGGAAACAGTAAACTTAATTTTTCTGTTTACAACACATCTGGGTTCGTGTACTCGAGTCACTATTCGTCTAAAAATGGTTTCATGTCTTTCGATAGTTTTTAAGTTTTAAAATATAATAATATGTTAATTTTCACTTATATAAAGACAATAAATTTCATATTAAGTCACATGAAAGATGCTGTGTTCTTTCAGGAAGACCGCCGTGGTATGATGTCAGTGGTGAGTCAAAAGAAGCATTTGTTATTGGTAAGGGTTGTGTTTAAGTCGATAATTACTATAAGCACACACCGTTTCGTATTTATTTAAGGTATTGGTGGTGCCAGCGGATCAGGAAAAACAACTGTGGCCAAGCGAATAGTTGAAAAACTAAATGTACCATGGGTATCACTGTTAAGCATGGATTCGTTTTATAAAGTACGCATTGTACTCTGATAATGAGTAAATACATCGAACATCTTTCTTTCAAGGTTCTTTCAGATGAACACCATGAGCAAGCTGAAAAACACAATTACAATTTCGATCATCCAGATGCATTTGATTTTATTCTTCTTTTGGAAACATTAAAAAATCTAAAAAGTGGAAAACAAGTTGAACTACCATTGTACAATTTCACGACACATTCGAGAGAAAAGTACACGGTAATCAGGGATAGAAAAAATAAAGCATATTAGTAGGATGCGATCTACTAATACATTCTATCTTGTCTGTTTTTTTAAATAGAAAACATTGTATGGTGCAAACGTGGTTATATTTGAAGGCATCATGGCTTTTACTAGTAAAGAAATAACTGAAGTAAGTCACATAATATGAAATTAGTCATTGAGTTTATTCCACTATTTCTGATTGAGTTTAATGCTGAAAAAATTCAACAAGACGCTGGGGTAGAAGCTTTAACGAATTAAACGACGTCTCTACTCATGCTAATTACTCTTATATATTTAAGCGATTGTGTTGTTGTCTTGTTTTTGCATGTTTTCAGCTTTTAGATATGAAAATATTTGTTGATACGGACGCTGATATTCGTCTTGCTCGACGTTTGATACGTGATATCACCGAACGTGGAAGAGAAATTGATGGTGTAATTCAGCAATATACACGCTTTGTTAAACCGAGCTATGACCACTATATAGCACCAACGATGATCTTTGCAGACTTGATAGTTCCAAGAGGTAATTAAATAGTTATTTAAAAGTAAAACAACATGAAAAGTTTTTTTAGGTGGTGAAAATACAATTGCACTCGATTTAATAGTAAAGCATGTCAATCGAGAACTTCATAAAGTGAGTATGACACAGACTTTGAAGCATTAATACAAAGACTATAATAATAAAAGATCATACTGCATCCGAATAGTAGATATCGATTGAAAAAACAATTGCAGGATGATGAACAAGCACAACAAGGAAAAACGTATCATTATCAAATAGGCAAACAGTCTTAGCTTAATTAAAAAGTTCTTACATCGATCCTCAACTCATAGAATTATTGTTGTGTTTTTAGCGTGGTCTTAAAGTGCGTTCAAAAATAGCCCATCAATCAGAATTTCTTAAAGACCTTCCACTGCCAGAATCGTTCTATTTAGTTGAACAGACACTGCAGATCAAATATTTACAGACGATTATAAGGTAATAAGTTTATTTTTTCTCTTCTGTTAGTTACAATCATGAACATTCTTTTTTTGTTTTGTTTAGAAATCGTAAAACAACTCGAGACGAATTTATATTTTATTCAAATCGTTTAATGCGGATATGCACTGAGTATGCATTAACCCTACTTCCATTCGAGGTACATATCAAAAGATTAATTAAGATGATAAGTTTGGCTCTCATTTGTTTGTTTAGGATATAACCGTTGAAACACCACAAGGCTTACCTTACCAAGGTAAAAAACATGCGAATGCACGAGTGAGTGAATAAATAATAAAAATAAGGTGGCCGGTTTTCATCGATTTCTGTCTTTATTTGAAGGGGTTTTTACGGAAGAAACGATTTTATACATTTTTCAGTTGGTCTCAGCCTTATGAATCTTCGAGAAAAAATTTTAAATTAATTTTTCTGGAAGTGATGCATAAGGATACTAGTGCTTACTAAAACCGATTCTTCTCCAAATCTAGAATGAAGTTAGAGTAACGTTGCCTGAACATATCCGAAAAGTGACTTGTATAGCCGGAAAAGCTGAGAATCAAGAGCGATGTGTATCGCAGTTCCATTTTACCTTTGGTAATATGTGATCTCCAGAAAACCAGAAACTGAGTCCCTGCGTCAAAAAGGTTTTCCACATTGTTCAGCCATGTAGAACATAATGACACGTCTCAGAGCTCTCCATGGCATTCTTATGTTGAGCTGCATCGATGATTTTTAAAATGATTATTGTTGCGAAACTTTGGGGAGAGACCGTTTTCCTAATGGCATATTTTGTCGTTTTGCTGGTTTCGATAGACTGAGGCCTTTTCGTAAATGAATGTAGTTCAACATAAGAATGTCATGAAGAGCTCTGAGACGTCTCAAATGTATAAAATCCTTTCTTCTGTAAAAGCTCCTTAAAATGAAGGAAGAAAAGAATGAACAGAAATCGATGCAAACTGGCCCTCTTTGAAATTGTTTTTATTTTTTTAATAAAAGGTGTGTGGTGTGTCAATAGTACGTGCTGGTGAATGTCTTGAGCCAGCATTGATCGAAGTATATAAAGATGTTAAAATAGGAAAAATTCTAATACAAACAAATCAATTAACAGGCGAACCAGAAGTATAAATTAGTTGCACTGAATTTGATTTTCTGCTTTATTTCATATGTATTAGTTATTTCTAGCTTCATTATCTTCGTTTGCCACGTGATATTAGCGATTCATATGTATTTATATTAGATGCTACTGTGGCTACAGGTGCTGCAGCGATGATGGCGATTCGTGTCCTATTGGATCATAACGTTGATGAAGAAAAAATTGCATTATTATCTTTAATTGTGTCGAAACAAGGTGAGAACAACGCTTTATGTTATTACTGTTATTAGATCAGCAAATTGACTGTTAATTGGGTCAGATTTGTAGTAGTTTAGACAGACTGCAGTGCATTATGAGTTCTAGACATGCAACGGTAACGTTAAACCGGTAAATTACCGTTACCGTTGTATGCCTAATTAGTTTCATCTATATCAGGCAGTTAACTTCATCCATGTGTTTAATTATTATTTAAGGTGTTCAAACTATTGGCTATGCATTTAACAAAGTGAAGGTCATTGCAACTGCATGTGATGAACACTTAAACTCCCATTGTTTTATCTGTCCTGGCTTGGGCAATTTTGGTGATAGATACTTTGGAACAGATAATAGTGAGAACTCGATGAGTGATGTTCATGAATATGCTGATGTGGTTGATCATTTGGATGACATGTCATCGATACCCTCAAAAACAACGTATCAGTTTACCAAAGAAGATAGTGAATGAAGTGTGAGTCTAAGATATGAATGAAGTCTTATAATATAGTAATGATAGGTTTGTTGGTGCTTCCAGTTTTTTCTTCTATTTTTATTTGCTCACGATCTGATTTTTCATTCAAACAGATATAGAATGAAATTGGTTATGTTTATTTTTGCTTTGGATAGCTGGGTTTTAACAGCTTGGTGTTTGGACATTTTTTTGTTCTTGTTTATTTTTTAAGTTGTTTTTGAAGCATTCCTAATAATTTCCATTTATTTTTTTGTTAAGTTTGGTTAGTTATTATAGTATCATGTTCTGAAAATTAAAAACTTCTACGGCTCAGTCATCAAAAGAAACAATTTTTCTTTGAATTGTTAATATACCCAACGTGAGAATACCTTATAGCTCTGCTCGTGGTAAAAATTCAGTTAGCCATTTTATGATCGATGAAAACTTTTCAAAATCGAAGAGAAATTATTCTGTTTTGTTATAATGGGTTTCAGTCAATAGCAGCATCTTGCTTGATTGATATAACAGGTGACGTTATTACATAATTGTGGGCACATTCAGACTGTTAAATAAAAAATCATCGAAGTGAAGATTATCTCTCTAATTTGTACTAACCACTTTTGGAGACTTCAACAGCGTGTTGACATTTTGACATTCGTTTGTTCTCCGAAGCTTTTTCTTAACTCACATTCAGGTCACTCAATACTCAAAAAAACCTTTCGACTTCAAACATACTGACAGCTAGGGATGTTCGATTCTCGTTAAGAACCGGAACCGCGGTTCTCTTGTTTCGGTTCTTCATTGGGAACCGGAACCGCGGTTCTGTAGACAGTTCCTTTTTTTTGGAACCAACACTTTTTTAACCATAGATAACTTACTACAGTTTTATTTCAAGAAAGCTATATTTAGCGTTCATAATGTATACTTGTGCGCAACTTCTTTTACATGAGATCTTCTATACGTGGCGAACCCATCGGCTCTTCTTAGATAAGAGATAAAGCCAATATTATTATGTCGTTATACTGGCCATAACTTCTGGTCTTGAAACTATTAAGATCAGACGATAGAAAAGTACAGCATTGAAAGACTAAGAATGAGTGTGATCGGACGATCGAATTTGTATTTCTTTATGAAGTGACGGGCGAAACAATAACTCGTTCTTTTCTCGTCTGCCTTATCTTTTTGCCTTGCCTTTCTTTTAACAAAATGAAAACACACTATTGATAAAGCAAAAAGATATATTTGCCTGCCATTATTATTTAAAAGAATCCTTTGGTTTCCAATAAAATGAATTTTATTTTGTTGAATTATTACTGCCTGAAAAATTCTTCTCCGGTTCTAAGCTGAAAACTAAGAACCGAGGTTCTCTTCTAAGTCGGGAACCGGAATCGCGATTCTTTTCGGTTCGGTTCTAACTCGAGAACCGGAACCGCCATTTCGGTAGCGATTAGGGATATTCGATTCCGGAGTTCCGGAACCGAATATCCCTAATCGCTACAATACTCTTAAATGGTTGAGTTTCCTCGAAAGTGAAAATCTTGAATGAAAAATGTCGAAAGTGGAAATGTGGAAAATTGAAAATGAAATTATCTGATTAATACGGATTTATTTTTATTACTTTTCAAAAAGGTGACATGAACCGATAACATATTCAATATGTAGAGAGATTTATTTTTGTATTATGCGACTTGTCCAAAGGTAACGCTGTGACATTTTTGATACAGTAAGTTGATGTTTTCTTTAAAACTAAGAGCTAGAAAGTTCGTTTTTGCGCAATTTGACGCGGCTCTTCTTACTCTATTTTGAGCATAAACACAAAGATTTTTGGTTAAAGACTCGAGCTTTCAGAAAACCTTTTTTTTAGACTGTTAACGCTGTGATATAAAAAGGCTTTAAATTCTAACTACTCATTAAAGTGCAAATTACTGCGAGTTTCCAACAGCTAAGAAAAAGTGTCTTGAGCAAAGTTTATAAAGAAGCTAACGGGCTTTCTTTTGCTAAAAACAAACTTTTTGTGTAAAGTAACGCTGTGACACATTTTTTTGTACCATTTTTAGGCACTAAACATTGTTCAAAAACTTCATACTTATAGTCTGTGTACTTCTAGATTTCCTGAAAAGACTCTAGTTGAAAATAAGTTCGAAAAATTCTCTAAGGCTTACAGACCAAGGCGGAAGTTGAAACGTTCAAGCAGCCACTGTGACTCGACTGAAAAATAGATCTCAAAACAAAATGAGCCAATTTGTAGAGAATTGAATTCTCTATTTAACTGTATGTTTTTAAAGTTTTTTGAACAAAATGTCTAGATCAGAAAATTGAAATTAAAATTTTTGTATTGAAAATTAATTTATTCTTCAAAAAAAAGTCAGATTCGTGATCAGCATGAAAAGCTGCGTCTAATGATGTGCCCCATCGGCTTTCCGATGAAAAAAATTCAAAAAAAACTCTATCAGTGAAGTGTCGCGTTACGTGGACAAGCCGTACGACGCAACGAAAAGAGTATGAATGACTCACAGCTGTATCTCTCGTGCTTTAATTTTACTGTCTTTTTTCCAGACATATTCATCGTCCGGTACATGTCATCAGCATGACGAGAGAGAAATAACGTACAATACCGACAACATATTCAGTGTAGGAGAGTTTTTCTATTACACTTGGATGTAATATCATATTTTTCTTAATAGAGCAAAGTTTTAACCTATTTGCCCAAAGCTTTGAATTTTCGATACTTTTCCCCTTAAATATTTTAACTTTCGATATTTATCCATTCGATATTTTAGTTTTCGAACAAACTCTCAATACGGCTGCAATCTGATAATTATAAAATGTGTACATAATTCCAGTGTATTTCCTTTAGTTGCAAATGGCACATGACTTGTATGTTGTAGATCTAATTCGACACTAATGCAACCACAACATCAACCACCACGCCTTCCTTTTTCATTCTTTCCTCCATCTCCTTATTTTTCACCACCATTTTTCAATCCAATGCTACCACCACCACTGATTCCAACATCTCACTTTTTGCCACAGCCACAACAACAAACGTTTTCAACGTCGTCATCATCGTCAAGACAAACAATAATTAATGATGGGATGAAAACATTGAGGGATATAAAAGTATCAAGTGATCAAACACTACAAAAAACGGAAGAGGATGATATCAAATGGGTAGAAAAATGGTTGAAATCGAAGGAACAGGCTCAACCAAATCATTTGACAATATTTGATTATCGACAACAATTGTTGTCATACGTGAAGTTATTGAATGAATTAGACAATGAATTAACAAATGGACAGTCGCTTGAGAAATGTCAAACAATAAAATGTAATATTGAACAGATATCGTCGTCTATTTACAACGAAACTACTGTCAAACAAGTGAAACATCAGTTGAATAAACGTCGTAAGAAACGTCAACGATCGAAAAACAACAAAGTCAAACGGTTATTATTGAAAGAAAAAACGTTCAATGAACAGTCAAACAATGAAAAAACAATTGATCAATGGCTATTAACAGTCAAAAATTCAATTGAAAAAGAAAAACTAGAAGCGACTCTGAAACAAACAATTGATAATGGTTTAATAGAAATACGAAAAAAAATATTCGACATAAAAACCGCCAAACAAACAATTGAACAAATTCAGCGATTGAAAAATATACGACGTCAACATCGAAAAGATACAACAGTCCGAATAACTGAAGACGAAAAACTAGATGAAATGTGTCGATTGTGCGATGAAAGAATGGTTACATATGAAAATGAAGAAAAACAAAGTCGATTAATATTGGAAGCAGAATCACATCAAAAAGTAAATGAAAATCATAAACAAATATGCGATTATTTATTCAATAATAATGGAAAATTTTATTTTGAAAGCGATGAAGAAGATCCCTATTATCTTTATTTTATTCAAGCACATAAAAATAAAGTAAATCTACTACAAATTAGAAATCATTGGGATCAATATTCAACAGAAAATGTTTTTATTCAATCGAATTCATTACCACCGGAATCTGTATTATCAAAATGGATTATGCCACAATTCTCGTCTGATACACAGTGGAACGAATATATATGGACGTCGTCCTAACTGATATATGAGAAATAGAATTTCTTCTTGTAAATATTGCTCGATACACCGGAGGTGGAGGGTAGTGTTCTATTATGCATTTCCAAATATACTGTCAATAGATGGTTTTTGAATGATTGATTGTTGAAGAAAAGTCGACGTGGAGATCAAATTTTCATCTGCATCTGGTTCAACTCAGCAGATGAAAACAGATGAAATTATCAGCAACAGAGATGGATTTTTAATTTTCTTAATTCGTTTCTAGAACATAACTCGAAAACCTATATTCGTTGAAAAAATGCATTTTTAGTTCTTTTCACGAAAAATTATCAAAAGCAATGCAAAATAACTGAGAATTTCAGGATCTAGTGTATTTTAGCAGTTGAACTTGATTCTGAAATTAAGACTAGTAGAAAACATTAACTTACCATTCAAAGGTTAAATTACTTTTTACTACTTTTTAAAAATTTTATTGACGAATTACGGATGTCAGAAATGTCATAACTATACCTATAACCACAACAAATATCGAGGTTAGGTTCCACAAAATCGTGCAAGACACTTTGGATTTTCTAGTCAACATGTACCAATTAAAAATTCATTTCAGCTTCTGGTGACCTCATCTTTTTTTATCCGTCGGACCGAACCTTCTGGAAATTTGTGGTTTTTTAATACCACGTACGTATACGAGAAGATAGAACAAAGTTGCCTTTATAAAACGGAGATTTTTTGCAGCAAAATTTGATTATTTAAATTAGCAATGTCAAGAATTTAATTACAATACAGAATACAAAGTTTGATAATTACTGATAAAGTCAAGTTCAAATGCAATTTGATTAAACCTTTTATTTCTAGTCACTATCATCTTTCTCTTAGAAACATATCTCAATAACTACAAATTCGATCTCAAACAGACTTTTCGGAAATATTGACTATGAAAAAGTATGATGGGAAAACTGTTTTGCTTCATTTCTCTCCGTTTGAACCAATACGATCAAAGTGCACTCTAAAAAAAATTGTGTCGCATTATGTGTAGATGTGTCGCAAACAGCTCCATATATCACAAAAAATTAATGTGTCCTAGAGTCTAGCTGAAAAATGTGTCGTATTTTTCAACTAGACTCTACAATACGTTAATTTTTTTGTGATATAGGGAGCTGTTTGCGACACATCCACACATAATACGGCATAATTTTTTTTAGAGTGTGGAGCATTTTCAAAGATTAAAAAGTTTTTAGAATATAAAATTCGTATCATTTATCTGTGTTACACAACTGTGATTGCAAGCACTGTAATCACATAATCAAATAAACCGTTATAAAGCAAATTACATGAATTTATTGTCAAAATGATCTAAAAATCGATTGAGTAGTGGATGTCTTCTCGTTTCGCCGACTTTTTTCGAAAAGTTGGCGAAACAAGAATACGACTTCAAAGAATATCAAAGGCGGAAGGGCGGTGGGAGAGTGAGTCGGTGAAGCGAGAACTAATCGAGTAGTGAGAGTCAGTAAATGGAATTTCTTTTCCGCAAAGGAGATTATACCTTTCTTTTGCGAACAATTGCTTAAGCTTTAACAGCGTGACAACATTAATAAAACATCAATTAAACAAAAGCACGTGTTTGTTGCACATGGAATGTCTACAAGGTACAGGTTATGTAGTCATTTTTGTTTGGAATATAATTTTTTACTTTAGTTCTCGGTTACTACTGACGAGGGAACCTTTTGAGGTGATTAAACGCTTTTTGCTCGGAATCTAGTGGATTATAAGTTATCGACCATGCTGATTATGAATATATCCATGGGGGTTGCCATTAGCCCTTCGGAGATCTGGTTTTCCAGAAAACCAGTTTTTTCGAAACTCTAAAATATAACGCGAACCTTTCTTAATGAGGCATAATTGTAGCCCGCACATTTCTGATTGAAATGAGACGTCTCCCAGCTTTATACGACCTTTCTTTGCAAAGTTGTAGAATTTACAAAAAAAGTCCTAAATTAATTTCTTATTTCTATAGCTTTGAGCTGACAATGAACATTTGACAGCTGACAACATCATTAAGAAAGGTTCGGGCTATATTTTAAAGTTTCTGAAAAACTGTTTTTTTAGAAAACCAGGTCTTCAAAAGGCCAAAGGCAGCCCCCATGGTCATATTCGTAATCAGCATGGCCGGTAACCTATAACCCACTAGATTCCGAGCAAAAAGCGTTTAATCACCTCGAAAGGTTTCCTCGTGAGTAAAAAACTGTTCCCGAAGTAGATGAAATGAAATAAAAAAAATTTGATTTTCTGAAGAATTTTAATTCGTCATATATAAGTGACTAATTGTCAAAGTGACCAAGCTATACGGAAGTGTTTAAAAACACTTCCGTACAGCTTGGTCACTTATACATTTTACCTGGAGACGACTATAACCATATATACTGTTAATTGTTTTTTAAAAACCTGAACGCCACACAATAAATTATTGAAATATTATTTTACAATACTCAACAAAATTTCGAAGCACCGAAGTTGATAAATACAGAATATTTTTATTCGTTCCTAGACGAAGTCATATTGATCTTGAAAAATTTGGAGAATAATCGCCGATATATTTTCATTGTTGCTAACAAAAAAAAGCGACTGTTATCCTAAATAATTATGGGCATGTTCTAGAACTCTGTCTTCAACTGTTGTTTCACAGATGGAACTAGTAAAGATTTTGTCAAAATCGATAAAATATCGATATTACTCAAAAATTTAATTGAGCGAGAGAAATAGTCTTTAATAAAAGTCTTTGTACAAGTCTTTTCAATATTTTTCTAACTGTTAGTTCGGATTCGAAAAAATCACACCTGCAGGACTCTTTAAGCTTTCTGATGAAATTTTGTGATAAATATAGGAAAAAAGATCACTTAATTTTTAATGGGATAAACCAGCAAAATACCGGAACTGAAGAATTTCATATTCGTAGTAAAAACATAATACTCGAAATGATGTTCTTAACAGGAATAATATTTTATTTATTAATGAAAAACATAAGCTTGAATTCGATTCAACCATAATTAAAAATGAACACCTATTGAAATAAGATCAATCTATTCAAGATGAGAGATTGTGCATATTCCTCTTTCAATTGAAACATAATAGAAGTCACTCCGTATCTGAAAAGATTTTGTTTCAAGGCTTTTTTTTCTATTATATGGTCTATTGTTCAAGTCCATTTCCGACCGAATGTCATGTTCGGATGTCCATGTTCACGGTTATTCTCAAATTTATCACCTTAATGTATTATTGAAAGATTCAACTGTCACTTGTGTTACTGCTTGACAATGAAAAAAATGTTGATGAAAATTATTCCCACGGTATCACTTTGATCACGAAGAGGCATGATGAGAATTTGGCGGCTGGAGCTTTGTGAAATTAATTTTTTCAGTCCCTAATATGAGCCCGCTCATATCACTAAGTTTCAGAATCGTGCCAATCCTGGAAATTTTTTTTTTAATCTGATCCAGTCATTTCTAATCCTCTTATCGATATATCTTTTTATAATCTCGTGCAAATTGATGTTTCTTCAGAGAAATTTGTATTGTATGACGATATTTGACTATGAAATATTATCCGAAGAGAGCACAAAAAACGAATGAGTATACGTGAAGAGTTGATATTAACAACATCAACGATAAAGATAACAGATATGGCAACAATGATAGTTAAGAATAAAATCAAAAAAGATCTTGGGAAATTAGCACAATGGATCTCGGAAGGACATGAAAGCAAAAAAGATCTCGAAAAAATGTCAATTAAGCATTTCTGCATAAAATATCTCGGAATAATGAATAGTCAAGAAGGAAAACATGTACATAAAGTACATTATTATGACGTCATAAAATTGTCAACTTCATTCTAACTGTAAACTTAAAAATGTTATGTCGTACGTGGAATAAAGTGCTCTTATGCGATAATGAAAGTGATTTATCAAATTTCATTAACGATCAGCATGCTTGTGTTTATCGAAAGGAAACATTTAACACCGGGACGTCGATTACATGTAAATAGCACTTGTTTAGAATACAAAAAAGTACCCATTGTGCCAGTTTCAACTACAAGCAAAAGAAAGTTCAAATGGATATCAAGTCTATTCATCGGAAGTACATAATCATCGTACACGCAATCAGACAAATCGTCTTCCATACAATAAATTTCATATTAAAGAATCGTTTTGTCAAAGATTACACTGTTTGAAAGGTATAATATAGCGGATGTGAGATCTTTTGCTATTAGTTAATTAATTAACTATTCCGAGATTTTTTCTTCAGAACAAAAAGATTTAATTAAATTTTCCTAAATCTTTTATGTAGAAATGCTTAACTGACATTTTTCCAAAATCGTTTCTGTCTTTATGTCCTTCCAAGATCTTTTATTTTCACGTCCGATAGTTAACATCAACGAAAATATAGTGTTTCGTATTTATTTTCTCTCCTCCACTGCTAATTAGATTGTTCAGACTTAAAAACAAATTATTTTTATTTTTATTTCTATTTTTTTAATAAATGGAAGTTTCTAAAAAGAAAAAAAATACTTAGCAAAAAAATCAATCCCAATTTTGAAAAACTAATTAAAAAAATCGATTTTTCATTCTGTCTGAAGAAGAAAAAATTCCGTAGGGTTCTACTGACACTACTATATTCTATCATCGTTTAAATGAATTTGATTGAAAATAAGAAAGAAGAATATGATGATCGATTAAGATGAATTAATGATGACATTCATTTAATTGTTATTGATCACACGGACCATTTTCTTATTATGATAAATTTTTATTTTATTTTCTTGTCGTTGAGTACCCAAGTGAGTTATTCTTTTCAAAATAAATTATTTGATACTAATGCAACCCGTTCACATGGATTAGATAGTTGATCAACAACAACAAATCTAAGAGAGTATAAAAGTGAAAATAATTTACCTTTAAATAAAGACAAGGATTATATAGAATTTCTGTGTAGAAATCAGTTTGATACGTCTGTTTGATATAAAGTTGAATAAAAGTACGAAAATATTATTGAAAATAAAACTCTAGACAAATATATTTTTCAATTCACCTTTAATAGATCGTAGATGATACATACAGACTCGTCTATTGATCCTGTTTAGATACATTTTCACTATAAATCATAATCTTAACAAATTTAAGATTTTTATTAATTTGCTTACTTTTTTTTTTACCATTTATTGCTAAATTTTTTCTATTTCTTTTCTTTTTTTTAAATTGTCAAGAATATAAACAACAATGCAGAGACAAAAGATAATGAAAAAAACGACAAAAACAAAGCAAAAATGATATAATACGAACTTTGAATAAAAAGTAAAGTAATTCAAAAGAGACAATATTTTTTTTACAGCTAAATGAACGTGTATATTAGTTAAAAAAATTCAAAATTTATTCGACGAAAAAAAGACGAAGAGAAAAGTTTAGTTTTTCTCATGGGTCTTATAAAAATCAATTCTAATTTGAAGGATTATTCTATAAAAGTTTGGTTAACTAATACGAAGATAACTGATAACCTTGGAAGAAACAAAAATCACGATTGTTGTTATTTATAGAATAAAATATTCACATATCAAAGGAAGACAGCTATCTATCTGGGTCACTGGTATCAGCCGTTAACATCTGATAAAGAACGCGATCAGCCATACAACCACGTATAAATTCTTCTTCTGTAATCACACCATTTTTATCCTCATCCTAGAGATATATCACAATTATCATAATTTTGAAAAATTGTTTTATTTTTTGCTTACCATCACATCAAATATTTGAGCTGTACGAGATTCTGGTGTATCGTTTGAGTTTGTTTTCTCATTCTGAGGAACACCAGCGCCCAACAAATCATATATAGACTATAAAAATGGATACATATTATTTATAAACTAGATTTATTTTCCTTTATCACAGACGTAAGTACTTACTTCAATTATTTTAAACATTTCTTGTCTATCGATACTACCATTGGAATCAATATCATACATTTTAAATGCCCATTTAAGTTTTTTCTCGGGATTTCCTTTAGCTGTAATGTTAATGGCCATCAAAAATTCTCTAAAAAAACATGAGAAAATATAACAGAAACTCTTTAAATATTTTTTTACTCATTGAACTTTTACTATATGATTAATGGTAAATCTAATGACTATAGAATAATTATAAAATATGTATAATAATCCTCCGATTATTATTACTTTCCATTCTGAGTCTTTCATGTTAAATTCGTTTAAAAATCGTCAAAAATTTTAATATTTAATAAAAATATATCTTCTAATATCTATGAACGACGATAACGGCAATGAACACGCAAGATAGAGAAGAAAATGTCATTTTTATTAGAAAACGTTTTCTTTTATTCTTTGTTCTCCGTGCTATACAAACCGGCAATATTTATAATCAAATTAGACCACATCATCCCACCCCTCGATTGAAAACATTTTTTTAGAGGATATATGCTAATCAATAATAGTAGCATGTACACAAATAGTTAAAAAACGTTTTTTTTTTCTTTTACAAAAGAATTGGAGGAAATTATATTCAATATAACGATGATGAGGACATATGCATCAATCAATAATCCAAAATGTCATTTTGTTGTAGAAAAAAGAAGAAAAAAACATAAATATGGACAATTGAATTCAGAATAAATTTTCTTGTTTAGGTCGTTGTTAGTTTTATGTAAAAAATAAAAAAGAACTACGCTAATCTTCAATTTTTTTCGATTCAACATAAAAATATCTTCAGTAACAGATAAATAACATGATGTATTCATCGTTTCATTTAGAGGGAAGAATTTGAGATCAATATTTTGATTTAGATTTTAATCAATTATGGATGTTGCGAAGAGAATTCTAGTTGTTTTCAATAGTACAAATATATATGTAATCAGTCTTCTAATTCTCAAATTATTGTAAATGAAATCATTTTATGTTTCGAAAATATGCGACAATTGATGGGATAAAACAAAAAGAGTTGATATAAATAAGGGTACACTATTTTATAGTTTATAAATTGAGAAAATAAACAAAGTCTACATACTTAAAATCGATTTTTCCACTATTATCAGCATCAAATGTTCGAAATATGTGTTCGCAAAATGCTTCTGCTTTTCCATTTGGAAAAAATTGTCTATACACTTGAATAAATTTCTTCTTCGTCAATTCACCCGTCGGACAATCAAGCTGTAAAATAAAAAATTAATAAAGGTAAGAATTAACTTTGGTAGATGTTTAATTTATTTTACACTATTCAGAATATTATTAAAAACCGTTTATATTCATTCAATCTGTTTATACTTTATCGACTTGCTTTAATAGAATTTTTCACTATTATTCTTACCGTAGAACATAACATATAATCTACATGTATCGACTCTAGTTTATATTTTTTTGTTCTTGATCAGTAAGTTGTCTTTATTTTCATTATATTGCATATTCAGGAAATATTGTATACTTCAATAGATATCAGAAAATATGCAGCAAGTATATGAACGAATGGCTAATTCGATTATCACATTTCAAACAGTTGTAATTATTAATAGATGTCTAGTTTGTCGTTGTGAACTGAAGCGTACAAAACGGTTAGGGAGAGAACAATTCACAATCAACCGTTTTCTATAATACTATGGACTAATTCTCTTCGGGCAAGATTAAATAGTAACTATGTTTTCACAATTTGTTTCCTGTCTAATCGTGAATTGTTCAACAACCTATTGAGTTTAAACAAATTACCGAACAGCAGACGGAGAAAAATGATGTGAATACGTGCCCATAATCATTGGACAACATCATGGATACCCCAAAATAAAAATGTGACTCTTTTTTATGTATAAAAACATGTAAGTTCGATGGATGTTACACACGTGAAAACTTATAAATTTTTTATTGAAATATGATTTTGCTGTTGACTGTACGGAAACTCCACTTGTCGACACATGTCTATATCTAAAAAATGTATGTCTTTTTCCCAGTAATTCTGAAACTCTAAATCAAAATTGAACACTTTGTTTTACAAATACGCGCTTTTGCTTACTTGCTATTTGACTAATTCATGACTATAATACAAATCTGCTATTCATACGTGTCGAAATTGAAATTTTACAATTATACACACCAAATATTTTTATACGTTACTTTATTCCCAAAAGTTTATAACTCTTTCGAAGAAGAAGCAACACCTTCAGATAGATTTCTAACAAGTGATGATAGAATTTCTTGGCTTTTCGATATAAGAATAACATATTCTCAGCAAATATTTTCACTAACCATTATTGAAGTGATATCCCGATGTAATCCAAGAGAGCTATAATCTACACAATAATACTGCGAATCAGATAGCAAACTATTAGAGTAAACTTACCACCTTCGGTTTTCACAGAAAACCATATCTTTCGTAATAAGAATTGAAGGTGATTAATTAGTAAGGCTAAGCGAAACGGAATCAGAAATATTCACACCGCATTCCACCATGTGCTACGAGCATCATCCTGTGACAGAACGGGATTGCCAATGCTGTCTGAAATTCTAGCGGCTGTGTAACCTGATTGCTTTGGCTGAGTTAGAAAAGAGAGAAAACAAGACAGCATTTTTCTTCTTTCTTTTTCTCAAGCTGACCAAAAGAGGCTTGTGATGGGTGAGCACTTTTTTTTCAAAAAATAAAAGAATGAAAAGATATATCAAAGTTGTTTCTTGTCGTCGAGATAAACTTATAGAACGCCCATATCAGAAGTTTTCGAATAATTATATGTAATGAGAATAGTAAAATTTCGCTTTTTTCTCTCGGATCCTATTCTCTACTATTCTGTTGTACACTTACGACTTATCAAATCAACAAATCTAGCAATCAAGAAGGGACAATACTAGGAACATATTGATAAAACGGACAACAACAGACGATAGTTGGAGTAAAAGTCATATACATTTCTTTTTGCGCATAATATTTTTTTAACATTGCTTACAGCGTTACATTGAGAAGCAGTAGATTCGCAAGAGCTGGGTCTTAGAGGTTTCCGAACATGTTGAATCTAATGGCATTATCAGTTTTCTCGGTCCCCATACTTCATAATGAGATTCCAGAAAATCGATTTGTAAAAATTCATAAAAAAATTATGCATTTTTACACGTGAAATCTTTTTAACGAGACATAGAGCATTATTTTTTTAAATTTTATCCCTGAGTTTGCTCATATTGATATTAAATAAACCATTATTTGTGCTTGCTGTTTAATATAATCCACTGGGAAACTTCAGCTATAGTCAGTCTGATTAACTTTTTTTGATTAAAAATGTGCTGATATATTGATGCTGACAGATAGACGACAACAAATTCAAAATGTTTAGAGCTTCGCTTTTTGTTCAAATGTTGTATTATTATAATCAGTTAATATAGAAAGAAAGAAAAGAGAAACAATCGAATTGTTTATTCTTTTTCAAATTTGTCTAGGGAAATCTACTCAGTTTCCTTCTTTCTTTTACAACTAGACATATATCTCATAATTTAAGAAATAATAAGTGGCTGTAGAGCAAGTTTAAACCAAAAATGCAAAACTATAGTCGCTATAGTTTAAAAATTATGTATATGATTATTTTCAAAATTCACTATTTATACACGTCAACATTAAACAAAGATTAAAAAGAAAGCCAAAATTTTAGCATTTTTTTTTCTAAACCGTGATTCCTTCAGGACATCAAAGTAGTATAGTATGAATAATCCTGATTAGTACCTGTATTTTTCATATGAAAAAAGATTTTCTCAACTAGCAACAGCCAATATAACACCAAAAGCATTTTTTTCTCAGTAAACAAGATTTTAAAACACCTTTGCGTTAATCAAATTTATTATTTGGACAAATGAAACACTTTGAACAAAGACTGAAGATTTGGAGTCAATAAATATTAATAATTTAAAGTGTCCAACCATTATCGAACAAAGAAAAGTTTAAAATCAATATTTCTTTAGTAATCAAATTATTTCAGAAACTGGCATGTTCATATGTTTAAATTTAGAGAAATGAACGAAACTGTCCAAATTTGTTCATTTATACGTGGGTAAAACACTGAAAAGAAGGAGTGTTTTACTTTATTTATTCTCTCTATCTGATTGTAGTTTTCAACAGTTTCTATTAAAGCATTTCTAAAACAGATATTTATATCAAAAAGAAATTTTTATTCTACGATTGTGTTTGGCCTCTATTATGAAATTAAATGCTTTTTCTCTTCGAATAAAGACGTCTACAAGTTCTCGGCGTCCCTACTATAAGAATCTGTTTCTTGTCAACGTCTATTATTCTGCATGAAAACACTTTTGATATTTCAACAGAAGAACGGTACAATAAGAAAGTCCATTAATTAGAAGATAGATATAAACACGTGGATATCTTAATTTAAAGAGAAAAAAAATGTTACATAGCATTATAGAGGCAGAAAAGAATTGTAGAATAAAACTTCATACAACCTCTAAGGAGATGGTGAGAAATCTTGTTTAACACATTTGGATTACTTTTTTATTTTTCCTCTACGGATATGTTGTAAAAAAATTGAAAATAAAAGCGCAATGATGAATCGTTTTGAGAATAATACTTCAGAAATATTTCTTCTTTTCTCCTAATTTTGAAAGAGAAAAAAACCTGTAGAAAAAGGATTTAACTCATTAAACAAAGGTTTTCAAAAACAAGCACTATAAAAGTTTGTTTTTTTTCAATAATGAAATATTTTCTCACCAATAGAGATTTTTATTCACCTGCCCATAAAATTCTTTGACTTTCTCTTGAGATTAATATACTTTGTTGTTTAAATTAAACAATCATTGTCGACTTAAATAATGAAAATAAATATTTCTCTAACAGGTCTATATAGATTAATAAAGCAAACGTTGATAAAAATCTGATTTTCCGCTTTATTTATAATGTTTTGGGAACTTGTCGAAATAAATCATCTTTTGTATAATAAAAAAAAGACGGAAAAAAAGATTTATCTAATGAGCAATTTGTGATAATGGAGTGTTTGGTGAAAAATGACAAATGTTCTTCGTATGCATTTCTTTTGATGATGATGGGAAAAAAGAGAGAAGAAAAAGTTATATCGTTGTTGAAAAATGAAAAAATATCTTTATATATCTGAGTTTCAGTAAGACAAAACAATAAAAGAATGAGGAGAAAATGTGAATGAAATAACAAAATAACTTGAAAAGCCAAATAAGTGTGTTAAATTATTCTATATTTTCATTTTATCTTCTTAACATTACTTTTCATAGTCCACTTTCTAATAACGACGTTTTATAATAAAAAACAAAATATGTTCAAGTGGGATACAAATAAACATTTTTCACTATATCGAACTGTTCACTAGCAAAAATTAATAAATTTTCGAAAACATTTTTTTTTCTCTCACAAAAATAAAACAAATAGAAGTATCATCAAATTTTCATGAAAAAAAACAACAACAGAGTTTTATAACTCAAGTTCTTTCCATCAATAAATATCTCTTAGAAAGAAGAAGGACTTTTCTACAATTGACAAGTTTTTAATATGATCATTCATTCCGTTATTAGTCATCAATGACGGCTATGATCTTTCATCCAATTATCTGAGATTCCTATACTCATTAACTACGCTCTAGCTTAAGAAATTAAAGGGAGAAAATAATGATATAAATAAAGAATCTAAGATGACTATAAAATATATTTTAATTTACTTGTTGAAATTATTCAAGTTTATTCACATCATCATCAGGAGGAAATGAGTATAGAAGAGAATATAATTATTTGTTCAACAGACTTTTTCTTGTATACTCATTTTTTCCTGCTGTTGATGTGAGTCGCATCAAAACCTTGAATATTTTACTAATAAATTAAATCAGATTATGTTAAGATTACTCTTATTTGAAAATATAATTTGTATAGTCTTATGCTCTTGATTCACGACACGCATTAACTTTCAAGAAAGACTAGTCAGAAAAACTGTATTGTATATCACAATGTAGCAAGTATGCTATCGGACAGGTGATCCAAGACAGTGAGATATGCATACCTTATCCAAGACATGACAGTACACCTATGAAGTAGGTGACGAACAACCGAACCATCGAGTCATACAGACTCTCGAAAAAATATTATCATGATGTTCGCTGTTGTTACTATAGTTGACTAAATGTTTGTTTAATTTGGAATTTGCCTCCTCTCTCTCTTGTTAGCTATGCTTAGGGATTATATACGAGCTGGTTAAGTTAAGAAAGTTATGGATATTGTATATACGTACACTCTAATAAAAAATAATCAGTAGAATATGCACTGCTGCAAAACACTACAATTTGAAATAAAAATTTAATAACTTTTTTTGTTTACAAAGTTTTAACGTAAAATTCAACTGTTTTGTATAGGATTTTCTAAAAGTTTCTGAAAACAGTAGATACATCAAAGTATCTTTAAAAAAATATTTTAAATACAAATAAAATTTACTTACGATAAATCCTTCATACCAATCAACAATTTGTTCTTTTGAAAATTCAGTATTCTCTTGTAAAAATTGTAGATCAGCTTTGGATAATTTTTTTTTAGATGAAACACATCCCATTATTAATATTTAATTATACATTAGTAAAATAATTAAATGGGCTCATATTTGTTTACAATGAGACAAGAAGTTTAATGTCGACATACTCACAAAGTCAACTAAATATGTTATGTGCGTGTGTTTGATAACAGTCTTTTGAACGTTGATACAACAAAAAAACAGAAAACAGTTTGTTCCTCTCCGATTTTTATCATCATTATCATTTTCTCTTGTTCTTTTTTTTTATCACCATAATTTTTTCATTTTTTTGCAAAAAAAAAATATAGTCTCTCTACTGAAACTAGACGGAAGCCGATTATATATACATCAAGACAGAGAGCGAGTCAGTGAGCTATATATATATATATATATATATTGTATTCGTCTTAATAATTTTGTTAACATATACATATATTTATGTGATATTATAATTTTCATTTTCTAACTTTTCTTTTTCGCTTCGCTTTCTTCTTTTTCTACACTAATAAAAGGCATTGTATGTCCTGCGTGCACATATCACTATCTCGCTAGTTCATTCAATACAAACATTCGGACAACTAAAGATCGATAAAGGAGAAAAAGAAACTAAGAATAACTCTAAATAATAATTTTTAGTTTTTTTTGGAATGAGCGTAGATAAGATTATCTGATTATGAACAGAAAAAAATAGACGAGAAGAATGATGGATACGAGTTATTGTGTTTTTTTTCTTTATTGTTTTTTTTATTCTCTATCGGTGAGACAAAAAAACTAGAAAATAAAAACAAAATCAACAACATTTCGAGAACTATAACAAATTTTTGACATAACAACAACAACACACAACAGCCATTGATTTAGTAAAAAGTTAACATAAATCAATCAGAGAGAGAGAGAGAGACTATCGCATTGTATCAAATCTGTTAAAATATAAATGGAAAAATCGGCAACTTAAACGGATGAGATATTATATTCATATTAATACGCAATTCAAAACAGCGGTGTATGATAAAACGATAATTAATGAGGCAATAAAGCGTCCAAAAACAGAAATCAAAGATACAGTTGACACTTTTTTGGGAAAAGACAAGAGAAGAGTGCAGCATTTTTTATCAATCAGATGAATCAAATAAACGAGGTGTCATAGCATATCAGCTTAAGCATTTTTAGCAAACATCAAACCAGCTTTAAGTTAATCAGTTGAAAAACTAGGTTTTTCTATTATTTACAAAAATGAATCCAGAATATGCTGTAAAACTATAAACGAACGATTATATGCTGGAAAATTTTATATTACAAAACTGCATCCATGCTTAGAAAATAACGGAAATTCTTCTTGTGTAGCTCTTCCAAACGTTTTAGAACATGATGATAGGAAATGAGAAAAGACTGCAGTAGAATCGTGTTTTGAATATTGGTCAACAACATCATATAAAATGTCTATAGAAGATCTTGATTTGAGAGAATAACTCTTTTTACAAGAAAAAACCTTATCCGATATAAAAATAGACAATGACTTCGGTTCTAGTAGATCGATTGCGAAAAATTTTCTTATTATCTTGTTTCCCTAACTCACTCTCACTATCACAGAAATTTCCATCATCTTCTGACAAATAGGATCCTTAGATATGCGCATACAGTATTCAAAATCCCATTTTTTAGCGCCAAAATCCTTTTCTCCCCAGTTATATTTGCACTTCAGACAAAACTGACTTGTCTGTTTTATAGAAGAGACTTTAAACTTTCAATCTGTGTGATATATGCCATTTTATTTCAATTTTTTCGCTAAAATTTTGTTAATGTCTTTACACATACGTTTCGGTTTTCTGCCACGCAAGTTTAAAACTCTTATCACCACCGCAGGATTTAACCGAAACGGTTTCAAATGAAAGTCGACAAAATATCCTAGAAGGTCACGCAAACAAATTTGCTTTCAAAGCAATCCTCTTTGGTGAAAGTGACAAACACTTTTTGAAGTTGTGATTTTCACATTGAATCTCACGCGATATTTTTATATTCATATTGCGTGTATCTCCTTAGTTTTCTATCTATTCGAGATCAAACTTTCACCATTTTCTTTTCTCGTTATGATTTGCTATTGGTGAGAAAAAGAACTATTTTATACCTTTGATTTGATAGAAAACAAACAACCTTCAGAATGTCACACGTGATTTTTAAAAACAAAATATCACGCGAGATTATTTCATAAATGTTGACGTCAAATCAGTGGGCAGATAAGACTTATTATGTATCATTTCGATTCTTCACTGAATGCTCTGTCGGATTAGCCGAGTGCTGACGTATGAAAATTTATCGTTAGGTCGCAAAAAAGCCGTTTTAGAGAGAAAATTGAAAAATACCACTGTAAATCAGATAAACTTTAAATATTTCGGCCACCTTAGCATTGGTAGTGGGAAAAATTTTTCCCTAGAGACTTTTGAGATGACTCTTCAAAATGTATAGTTAAGATTTTAATCGAAAAATTTTTTTTCGTTTCGTTTTTTTAACAAATCGTATAATGAAATTGTAAATCGCTCATATATTTGATGTGTTCAAAAATTATAAAAAGAATTAGTTCCTTATCTTTTTGTCACGATAAAATTTTTGCAAAATTATGTAAGAGAACTAAATACTTTCTGAGAAACTTTTGTCACAGAGTGCGATACTGACATTCTCTTACACTTTTCTCCTGGAAAAAAAAGAAAAAACAGAGTTCTCGATTCTTTTTCTCTTCTTCACTTGGAAAAAATGTCGTTATCATACGATGATTTCGGCCTAGCTCGTTGAACATTTGTCATGACACGAGAAGTAAAGTCAGCGCAACTCTTTTACAGAAGTGTTCTAAAGTTGAGGAGGAGACAAAAGTAGACATCTGCGTCAATGCTTTTTTTGGGCCCATTTCTCATGCCATGCTCGCTAGATTAAAATTGTCTATGCTCAACAAATGTGCTATAAGTTAATATTTCGATAGGGTTGCCGAATCTAGCCACCAAACAACTTTTCCTTCTAGTATATGTTGATCTGAAATCTAGTCATATTGACTGGGTATATTTATAGACAGAGCGTAAGAAAATATGTATTGAGATTTGGCGACTCCATCATGCTGTGAGTTTTGTTCATTTTCTCTCATCGAAGTCATAGATATTCTGACTTACATGAGCGACCTCACATCTCTTTTCTCTACAAGTACTAGAGCGTAGAAACAGGATCCAAATGACGCGAGATGGCGGGAAAAGGGGTTACCATGTATCCAAAAAGTCTATACATTCTAGTAGCTAGTTAGATCTATTATATTATTAAGGTAAATTTTCTTTAAATATGAATTAACGAACAAAATTATTCTCTACAAATTGAGATTCTTATACAGAGCTGTAAAAGAAGTTTTAAAAGGCTTACTTCATTTTACTATATCTAGTCGACACTCTCCAACAATGTTTCCTAGTATTTCCAGAAAAATGATGATTCCCGTAACCTTTTCCGCGGATTTAAAGTTAAAGATTTCGTACTGTATTAGAAAGTATAGTTTTAGATGTATAAAGTGTTCATATGGGTTTATTTGAGATTTTCTGTGTTTATTCAGCGTTAAATTGCTCAATAAATCAAGGTTTTATTAGTATATTTGCTCATTGTTGTTAACCTTCTATATTGTCTACGCATAGTTGTCAAGTACTGTATACTGTTCAACTGTGTCATCTATTATATAGTATGAAATATAGAATCAAATTTCCTAAACTTATAAAACACGCGAAAAGTAATGTAAATACAATTATCATTTATCGTCTGTACGCGTTCAGTGATGACTTTTAGAGACAATAAAATATTTGCAATAAATCACTTTGATTTTTAGAGTAGTCAGCATTATTTGTCATAGATGACAATTATAACAACAACCTAAAAGCATGACAAATATTATAACAGAGACGTATCAATAAAAATCTATACTTTGGTGAGACAGGATAGCTCAACTAAAAGATATTTTCCTATAATTTCATAGTTTCAGTGAATTTCATCATCATTATTTCAGATTATACGCCACACAGTGAATGAGTCTTCGACTTTATCTAGTTCATTTGGTACCTCACTACATTATTTAACAATAGTCACTGCCTTTTGTACAGTATAAAAAAAAACAATCTCTAACATTAATAGAATCAAATATATCTAGAATTACTTTCTTAATGTTTTTCCTTTGAGGGTGAGATCTTTGTTGTCGTATTTTATCACATGTGAGCTTAGTTATTGATGTGCAATAATGTGATCCTTTCCTATGAGTTATAATTTTACAGAGTACAATCATCCGTTCAAGGACAAATTTTCATACTAAAAACAAGAGAATAACATTTCCCATGAACCTTAATTGTTTTTTTTCGTTTAAGGTGAGAGTAATACAAAAACAAATAGTAATTTTTGAAATGTGTATTTGTTTTATATTTCGATCTTAATACCCGTAGTCATGTATAAGGTCTGGATGATCACATACACACATATAAAGAAGAATAAGAAGAAATAGCAAGCAAACAGAATTGGTGATTAAAATTCTATTAGTAAAATATAATAGCAAGGTATCAACCACAATGATTGATTTGCGTACAAAACTCATTCTTCTTTTAGTTAAATAATGAACATGAAATATGATACCGTATGTGAACTGTAATTAGTATTAATGTTACTGTGTTTAATTTTAAAAATTTTGTACCCTCAACATAGTTTAGTCTCTATTTTTTTTTCTTTTTCTCTTAATTCTTTCGCGTTATTGCACTTACACATCGACCAAACGGTATAGATGACGAAAAAAAGACTCTCGTTTGTTTAAAATAAGAGAAAGCCGTACTGATTTAAATCGGGTGAGTGTGAAATAGAAGAGAGTAAAAAGTCTATTTAACTTTTTGAACACATATCCAAATGTTAATTCAACTTTTAGTAAAGAAAAGAGAGAGAAAGAAAGGTGTAGCCGGTCGTCCTCTACCACACTTTATTTGACAATATTCAATATTCTTCATGAAGAAGGTAAATTTGTTTCATTATTAGACTAAACGAAAGATCACTCTTTTTACCCTTTGATAGATAGTCTAGAGAGAGAGTTCGACCAAACTCAATAGATAACAAGACTTGTGGTAGAAACAAGTTAGCCATTGAAACCATCGCTAATAGAAAAACTTATTAGACTAGTTATTTTAAGAATATTGAGATACAAATATGCTGTTGTAATTCATTCAAGTCAAATTTCGTACTGTCTAAAATTTCTCTGTCTAGTCACTGTAAAAGATCGAACAGAAATATTCTTTCTTTTTTCTAATCAGTTCATAGGCTGATTTTGTCATTTTTTAAGATAGTATATCCGTTGTTTTTACTTATTTGATTTACTGCTTGTCTCTCACTTTTTTCTCTTTGATGAATATTTGACAGTGATCATAAGACTTTTGATCCATCATTTGAGCGTACGTACGTAAGAAAACTAAACCTTGATGGTGTTAGAACCGATAGACAAAAGTCGATCCGCTTTCTCTCGCTCTCTCTTGAATAAGTTTATTTGTTCTAAGCTAGCGTGTTTGTAAAATTATATATTCATACCCGTAATAACGAAGAAAAAAAAGAAGAAAAGTAAACGATTTTCGTTTCAATTATAAAAATAGCATAAAATTCTAAATAATGGAATGAACTATGAATAAACTACAATTCAAGAATGAACGTAGGTAAGAAAAAAATCTTCAGGACATCCGTTTTTTGAACTAATTAATTCAAAATAGTTGGATAAGGATCCTACATTTACATATATCGTATATAAATAATCAAAATTGATTTTATCAATCCAACAATGTGTAGATATAAATATATATGTTTTGCCTTTTTCAATGATGATAAATCATTTTTTCATTCGTTATTTGTAATATATCATGACGTTTCTCTAAAAATAACTGTTCGAACTCATACAGTGCCTGTATATCTCTGCTGATGGATAAAACTTGCGTATGCGAAGTCATACTGATGTCTCTGACAGTTTTAAAAATACAACACATCAAAGTAGATCCCAATATTCTTTCTTCGATAAAGGTAATATCCACTATTAATATATGGTAAAATTCGTCTGATGCGTCTATTGTAGTCATTTGAACTATTATAATAGACACACACACACATACACAAAGAATATGTCCGAGTTATAGGTTATATATATATATCTATACATCAATAACAGCTATGTGTTTTGATTAACAAAAGAAGAAACACAAGTGCTTCGCGTTAAAAAGGGCACAGTATGAAGAGTAATGGTTCAATATCTCTATCTACTGTAGATATTTGACCGCTATATCACATTTACACATGATTTTTTCATCTCTTCAGAGAATAAGGCACTAAAATGTATATAAAGTTATTTTTCTTCGCAGAACAAATCTGTAACGTTAATAAATATCTAAGTATAATTTTTAAAATAATGATAAAAATAAATTCTATAAATATCTAATGTGTGCAAAGAAAATGTCTGCATGTTCGTATTCTATCGAATAGTCGATGAATTCATACCAATGTGAACTATTCGTAAAAGGAAAAAGAATGACCGGAAATTAAATTTTCAAAGAAAAATTTTGTTCATATATGAACAAAAAAAAAAAAAGAGAGTAAAGAGTGAAATGTCCGACACGGCAACAACAATTATTTTTTCTTTTTTTTTCTCTCCTTTGCTCTTCTTTTCCTTTTCAATTTATACACCTTTTCTGCATCTATGACTTGAACTTTATGTATATAAAGAAGAACGTTGACGATTCATTAAAAATCGTTCAAAATTGTGTAAGCAAAACAGTTGCACTTGTTTATCTTTCCAGAAATGAAGTGAACACTCTTTTAGTTACATTTTTTGCCTTTATTTGATGTATTTTAAAGCAAGTGCTACTTCAATCTTACACAAATTTTGATATTAAGTATAATAATAGAAGATTATAATTGAATAGTGTTTTATGGCTGCGAGATTAGTTTAATAATGAAAAATTGTATATGTGCATTAGATACATGGTGTGCGTCTAACCTTCATTGTCTCGGTCAGCATGATATTTTAATTGTCACTTTATTTTTCTGATTGACATGGACAGATTGACAATTGCTCGTGAAGTTTTTATCTTTATATATTGACTGTCTCCTGCGAGGTTTTTGTTTGAGAAAAAAAATGATAATGAATATAAAAAAAACCCTAGTTAATATATCTAATTAATGTGTAGTAATAATAATCATAAATGCTAATAGTTTTTTATTACTCTTTTTCTTTCTTTTTTACCTTGAAATTGATGATGTTAGGAAATCCTTCAAAAGCTTTTGTCATATGATATTAATACCCTTACCTGTTTAATATGTTTTGTAATAGTCTTTAGCAACTGTACACACACATATACATACACATATACATACATAAGCTATAAAATCCTTAGTTAAATATTGTGATGAATAAAGTAAAAGACAATTTTCATCAGATAAGAGAAATGCAATACATAATTTGAATTTTACACATCTTTTTTGCGGAGATACCAGATGAGATGCAAGTAGATTAAAACGAAAAAAAGATGATTGCTCAATATGTAGACCAAAACTTTTAAGGTTATCCTAATTCAATATGTGAAGTAAATGACATTGAAAGAGTTAATGGTTTGACTCTCAAAAATGATCTTTCAAATTATTAAGAATATGTCAATTAAATTTGTTAATAAGGGTATGAATGAAAACACATTTTAGAGACAATTTTTTTGAAAATATCTTTCTAATATTATTGTTATTATTTTCGTTTTTTTCCTTTTAGATGATGTTGTCGTCATAATAATATATATGTTGTACAACAGCTCGCTGTTTATAGTCCAATAATTTTCTTGTAAAAAAAAAATGTAAAAAAACAGCTTCTCTTGCAGTTCTTCTCGTATATATATTCAATCGAACTTGATGATTTTCATTTTCTTTTCCTTTCTCGTACTAACTGCTCCTCCCTCTTCCATCTTCCCCCCCCTCCGCTCTATTTCATGTCAGAATTATTCTGTTTTTCTCCCTCTTTCTTTCTCGTGTCTTTAATAAAGAATAATCATCATCATAATATGCTGTTTGGTCAAAAGAACGACATGTAATAAAGTAAAAAAAACAAAAATAGAGGATAGAACGTGAGTCCTATTCAATTTAATCAATAGAATTCAATTGAAATTGTGATTTTCAATTCAATCAAAATATGTGGCGAAAAATCAAAGAAGTTTTATGCAAACATGGTAAGTTTAATAAACATTGTTCATCACTTTGATTTTTTTTATCTATTCTTAAATTAGTGAAAATAATACGGATGAACTTTTTTGAATGTTAAAATCAGTGGCATACTTCTAGTCCTCATTAGTTTTGATTCTTCTTCTTATTATTATGACAGAAACAAGAAAAGCCACATTTTACAATTTTCATCTGTAACCACAAATTTTCAAAGAATAAAAGAAAGGAGAGAATATTACTATATATGTAATGTTTTTGAACTTTTATGATTTTTGAAACACAAATTACTTTTTTCACTACTTCTCATAGAATTTCTGACTTTTATAGACGAATTGCAGATACATCATTACATTTCTCTGTATATTATATATACATTTATATAAATGATACATTATTTCATGTGAACAGTTGCTTGCTTCAAATAATGTCAGATATCATAAACAGAAACATGAATAGTCTAAAAATTCTTTAGCAAAAAAAAAAAAATATTACATAACATGAAAACAGTATGAAATTTTTTTTCTTTTTTTTTTTTGTCTTGGAGAGTGCTTGACGTCCGTTTGTTCATGCTTGTTCTCATCCCCTTTGCCGAAAACTTAATTTATTTTATCTTGAAATCTCAGAAAGAATGATTATTGAATTTTCATTAATGACATTCTAATTTATGTAGTCTTCATGCTATAACATACATCATTTCATTGATTTATGAACATTTTACTCTTGGGTACATTTAAAATACACACATAGGAAAAAATTTACTTTAATACTGATTATAGACGAAAGAACAAAAAAAATGGTAAAGCGTGTGTGTGTGTACGTGTAGTGATTCTCAATGATAATTTTAGAAATTTCTATCATCATCATCATCATTCGATAACAATACGATGAACACATTGTAGTTGGCAAAGAAAAGACAAATTCTTTTAACGGAAATTCTTTTGTATTTATCCATTGCCTTTGATTCAAAAATATGTAATTGAAATGAGAAGTATATATCACACGCGATCCTCAGATTTATTAATCGCAATAGAAGTCAATAGATTTTCTTTCATCTATAATAGGATACAAAGATCAGCAATATTTGTTGTTGTCTATCTAATCTAATGCTACTATATATTGATACTATTTGTCAAGCTAAGATGATGATGGTGGTCTCTTATTTTTTAGTTTATAAAGATGAATCATCTCATCATCAAACAGCCGTATCACAGATTGATTTACATTCTCAAGGAGAAAATTCTTTTTCTTCTACTAACGAATCATCAACAAAAATATATCCATCATCAATAATCGTTCATCATTGTTCACAGCAACAAAAATCTAAAACATATGATAGAACAACAAATAAAATAACCAATCAACAACATCATATCAATAAATTAAATTCTTCAATAAAAACTGCTGAACAATGTCGATCATTATTTGATCTTCTACCATCGTTTCGACGTCGAAATTCAATAACAAAAACAATTGATTGTGTAAGTAGAAAATATATTATTATTATTTTTTGTTTTATCTAATTGTGCGTGTCGAGACAGCATTGCAATTACATAATTTCAATTTTCTTTCATTTAATTATGACTAGCGGACAACTATTTAAATTTTAAGAAAGAAAAAAGAAAACTGACAGTTTTTTTTTTTCTTCTTTTTTTTTCATGTTTTTTATTGTCTTTGTTATATTTTATTCTCAAAGGAAACACAGATGAACATCGTTAATGCAGTTTTTTTTACTAGTGAATATGTGATGTAATCGCTTACGAATAGTTGAGTATATATATATATATTGATATGTTCAATATTCTCTTCATTTGTCATTGTTTGTGTTTCTCAATTAGACTTTAATTCAATTTTTAAACAGTACTAAAGTTAATTAGCTTTTTTATATAAGTTAACTATTCTAAAAGGAAAATCATACATAGAATGACTGTATGTTCTCCTTCATAGCGTCTGTCGATCTTTTTTTTTTTCTGAACATTTATATAAAGAAATTATTTTCACTTAAATATTCATTAGACAAGACAATGATTCTCGCCCTTGAAAATATCTTAGTTTATTTTCCGTTTATGTGAGTTTTTTGTTTAGATTGAAACACGATATTATAAAACCTTCAAATGATACACAAGTAGTACTTCGTCTTTCTCGATTATACAAAAACAAATATAAAATTCTCTTTTAATAATAATCGTAATTATAGATTATTCTCTGTGTATGTGTGTGTGTGTATGCGTTTTTTTTCTTCTTTTTGTACACCCAACAACATCCTCTCTACTATTTTAAAAATTCCGAGCATGTTAAATGCGAAAAGAAAGAACAATAAAGAATTGCATTACATATCTTGTCTACTATTATAGGGTCATTGTATGTAGTATATAGAAATCTCATTTTGGTTTTAGTTGATTTAACAAAAGAATGTATGATGACGTAGATATATATATATATCTAAACATACCATCCTTTTTTTCCTCTTTTAAAATGGCATATTTTATGGTTACTATAAAAGCAACTTGTAACACATTTATGATTAAACATTTTTGAAAGTTCATAAATTTTCACAAATTTGTTTAAGTTTAAGGAGTTTATCAGTTCTTGATACTTTCTTAAACATTTATGATCTGAAAAAGAGTTTACGTTAATAGGAAACAAGAACAGGAAAACAAGCGTAAAGAAAGATTTTTATTCGAACTATTATTCTAGAAAATATGTTTTTTTGTTTACAAAATCGACATAGTTATTCAAATAAAAACTAGTACTCTTTTAGATTCTATTGAAAGACACGTTTGCATTTAATCGGTTACAATATTATACTGACTTATATTTTATTTTACAATCGTTAACGCGCACGTATTTTATTAATTATTCATGATATGCATTTAAATACGGCAAGCTCGTAAGAAGTAGCAAAAGAAGAAAAAAAAATTGTATTTCTATTTTATAGTATAATAAAATAAATGTCTGTATTTTCTTAACAATCGAAAAATCGACTTGTTATGAATTTGATGTCTACAATTTGAAATCAATAAACTATTGGTGTGTGTGTGTGTGTGTATATGTTTCTCTTCATTGTATTGAAATAGAACCATTTGATTATATACGTGAGATTAAATGCGTGACTTGTGTGTTATTATGGTTTCTTGTTCAGTGATGCAAAATATGTAGCTAGGCTGAGATAGGGAAAGAGAGATTTGATGTGTAAAATTCATTAACATGTAAAAAATTAGCTTACTCTTAACATTGAATTTCCGTAAACAGGTTATTCATATTTTCAAGCAAATGTCATTGATTAATAATCAAAAGCTAAAAGGCAAAAAAGATAATCCTGATAAGGTAGCATGCACTTTTCCTCTTCTGTTCCGCATTAGAGAATAGATTGTATTGATTAAGCCTCTTTGATGATTCTCACTATACATTATTAATTTATATTCTATCTAAAAATAACAACTTTATTGGAAACAAGAGAGAACGTACTGTTCTATCAACATTTCGTAGAATTAATTCATATATACACAAAAAAATTTTCTTTTTATTTTTTTACGTTTTTTCACTATCTATTTTATTTAATAGGAAAAATATATCTCATTCATTTTTTTCTTCTAACATATCTTTTTTCATTCTTTCATTTCTTTTTACTCATCTATTACACACATAGAGACACACACACATGTACAAATTTTTACCATCTGATGTTTCATAAACAAACAAATTACGCTACAAATTAGTCTTATTAATATAATATTAATTTGAAACATTTGCACAAATAACAAATAGAGATGACGACTAAAATGGCAGATACTTTTCAATGGATACGGTTGAAATACTTGAAACTAGTAAAAATGCGACATATAAATGATTGTGAATATTCACATATACAAGATAAAGTATCAGCAACGAAGTCTTTTACTATTAAAATTGATTTGGTTTACATTGTCTGATAAAGAGCAATGTTAGTTCGAAGAAATAAGATAAAAATTTAAAAATGATAGCTATTCCAGTTAATACTTTTCATCAAAGATATGATGAATTAGTTGGTTGCACGGTCAGGGCTAGATAAAGTCAACAAATCTAATCAATACCCGTTTACATGAAAGATACACATTGTAGAAAATGTGTTTCTTCCTGCTTTTAACCCAATGTTAACCTTGATTTCCGTGTAAATACCGTATTACTTTTTATTTTTTGGTAGTTTCAGTTGAACAAGTCTTTATTCAAATATCGTTCTTTTTTCTTCTTTGTTACTCAATTCTATTGTGCATAGATGAGTAAGCTTGTTTCTTTTAATATATTTTTTTGTAAAAATTTATGCACATTTATACGAACTTGATCCCATCAGAGAAATATGATTTGAATATATTATTAATACTATCAAGTAATATATTACTTATTTATAGATTTAGAAAGAGAGATATTGTTCTATTAGATTAATTAAAGTCTTATAGTTTAGGAAAAATCTTTAGATCAAAGATTTTTCTGAATATTTGATATCTTACAGACATCTATCTTAATAATAATACGTTTTAAAAATATTTTATTCTCTAACAAAATGATTTTATTTTTTAGAATTCTGCTGTCAATACATCATCAATTTATACAACCGATTATGATTCTGGTTATATGAGTCAAAGTGTTTTAAATCGAACATCTTCATATGTGTCTTGTCATTCAGCAAATGGAATAGATAATTCAACAATGTCAACACCACCACTAGCAAAAGGAATTGCAGAAAATCGAAAAGAATATTCAAAACGAAATGGTTCAATAGAAAATATTCTACATGGTCATACGAAAATAAATCCGGCTAATCTCAGAATATTGGTTCGAAAAAATTTTGAACCATTTTCACAATCTCAAAAACAAATTCGAGTCAAAAAAGGTATTATATAATTTTTTGTCTAATTTCGAATGAAAATAATATATCAGAGTAGTAAAGAATTGTATGTAGAGAGAAAAATTCTAAATGAAAATTTTACAAAAAAAAATCCATTAGACTACGTTCATTTTTCGAGTTTAACGTGTTTTTACACGTACGATGATTGTTGACTGTAAACGCGAAAATTAATTTAGTTTTGTTTGTTAGAGAAAAAGAGGGTTATTTAAAATGGAATATGTTCTTGTTTTAAGAAAAGAAAAAAAAAAATTCCCTGTATTTGATGTGATAGAAAAACTATATTCTACTAAATGAAAAAAACTATGTTCTTGAATTTTGATAACTGCATATAGATTCATTCTATCAAACAGACATTATAACTTGAAGACTTTAAACAACAAAAGGTTTCTTTTCTTTTTTTTTTTTTCTTCTTCTTTTTTCTTACTCTTCTCAATTTTCTCATATATTATTTAACTTCTGTTGAGTTTTGCATTTCAAAGTTATCTCATGGTTAAACGAAGAATTAGTTCCATTACAATAAACTCTTTATCAACTAGAAAGAACAGTATATATGTTTCACTGGAAAGAAAACCTCTCAAGTTTGACATATTGTTAAAGAGTAATTGGTTAGATTGTTAATTTATTACATTAAGAGGACCTAATATTCTTGTGTTTAACCACTGCCTAGTTAAACTTATGATAAGAAAATACAAAGATCTTTTTACCAATTAGAATATGTAGGTAAAAATATCAAATATCGTTACATAGAATATTTATTTACTTTTTTTTCAAGAGATAAACTTTTTCAGTTTATTACAATCTTGCTGAATTTAAAATATTAATTTTATTTTGATTTATCTATACTTTAGATTCATGTGTAATTGCCTTGTATTCTCGTGGTCCATGGTTATGTATACAAACTGCAAATGGTGATACTGGCTATATACCACGAATAATTTGTTCGTTACATCCCAATCGTTCCAAAAATGCATACATGAGCAATAATTCAAATTCTTCAAATCATTATTCATTGTCCTCAACATCATCGGGGACCTCGTCGTTATCATCTCGAGGACAAATGAATTTAGTTAATGATAGATCGAGTGATAATGACGTTCTTGATTTAACAACTGTATTGCCAGATCAACCAGAACAATATCAACAGCAGCAACCAACACATTATTGGACAGCAACGTCTTTATCTTCAATTTATGGCAATTTACAACCAAAACCATCTCATCGACAGAAAATAACAGCTATTTCAAAACGTCAATTATTAAATGAAAATCGTCCTGACATGATGATCGGTAATTGTGATATAAATCGTTATATTTCAAGAAGTTCGTCATTAATAAATAAATCTCATCCACCAAAACCGATTGTCGTATCGACTGGTGAAACTTTTATTAATCAAAAATTACGAGATATGCCCAATAACGAACGACATATAAATACACGTATTTTAGCATCAAATAAGCAATCAAATTCTCGTCGTTCAACAATCGGTTCTTCACTATTTTCATTAAATTGTGCTACTGTACCCGTGACGAAAAGACCACAACAACAACTTCCAGATGAAAATTATAATAAACGCTATGAACCAGTTGAAATTCATGAAATTGACAACAGGAAATCTAATTTGGAATTAAGTAACAGACAACAACAACAATCGCCTCAATTGTTTGTACAACCACGCGATACCGATTCGTCAAGTACTCAAGATTCAGGATTTTCAGAGCCATATTTTCTTGTAGATGGAACTAATTATCAACAATTTAGACAAAAGAATTTATTAAACTCACTACCACAGGTAAAACTGAAATTTTCAAAGAATATTAAAGATTTTTTACTGTTTTAATCTTTTAGAGTATTAACAATGATAATGTTCTTCAACAACAAGAACAAAACACAGTTTCGTATGATATATTGTCTAGAAACTCAAAATCAATCAGTTCTTTAAAAGTGCCATCATCAAACACCGTACCATCGACATTTCCTTCAAATAAAGTAGATAATAATAATGGATATCGTTTAGGAAGAAGTAAACGTCACACTTTAATCGATGGTGTTCATTTAAACAATTATTCACATAATGACTCAGTCGTTAATAAACGACATTCATTTGGTGCATTTCAACCGGAAGATGATGCAACGATTTCTTTTAATGGCGATAATGAACATCATCAAATACGCGTACCATCTGTCGATTGTATGCTTAAACCACATACATCGGAAATGGCTTACATTCGAACGGTGAACGATAAATATCCTCAAGTTACACTTCGTTCGAAACCACGTTCAAATCAACAACGTTTACTCGTGAAAAAGGATGTGTCAACACTTACACAAAGTTTAAATCGTTTAGAAGACATGAATAAGAATTATGAACACAACGAAGAAGAATTATTAAATAGAAATAATCGTTCAAATTTATGTTTAGCTATGCCAAAAAGTCATGATCAAATACCAACAAGAATAATTTTAACTCATCATCGACATCAGGCAACAATTGAAAAAATGATCACGGCATCAAAACAACGACAATCGAAACCAAACACTAGTCTATCGTCCTCATATCAATTTGGTAGTTCACATAGTGCATTTCGACCAGTTAAACCAAATCACAATATACGTGCATCAAGCGAAGGACATTCTCCAGTCGATCATCAATTATCTTTTTCATCTTCATTATCTACATCTAGTTCGATTTCTACTTCCTCCACATCACTAAAAAATACCGATGATGCACTTACTGTCATCAAAAAGAAACCACATTTAATTCTAAAATGCGATCCCAAACGACGTTTATCATGTGATGTTTCGTTAAATAATACTAATAATAATAATTTGAATATATCATTGATGGATAATATTAGTTTAACACAGTCAACATACGATAATGTTGCTGTAGACAGAAATACTAAGTCGAGTTCGACCATGATCGGACCAAGTCCGTTTATCCGTACAATGAGTGATATATGTGATAAATTTAGCGAATTGAATATTGATGAAATAGAAAAAGATTCTTTAAACCCAATTCCTACTTATCGAACGAAGAAATTAGAACAAAATCAATTATTACTAAAAATGATGGTTATGAATAAAAATAAGATTGGGCAAGGAAAAACATCACTTATTCCACAAAATAATGATTTAATAAAAATATTAAAAGATTATCGTAATCCACGCTCAAGTTTCTCGGTAAAACGTGGTGATTATGTTTGTCTTCTCAAACAAGTGGGTAAAGCGTGTTTTCTGGTACGAAAACATAACGGACAAATTGGTTTTTTACCAAAAGCTTTGATGGGTATAGAAACAAAGACAATTGATGCGTTTTTACAAATGCACGGTTATAGGGAAACAGTCATTTAAAACTCTTAGCAATAAGATGAGCCCAATTGACAAAAATATGTAGTGAAACACTTTTTTATTCATCGTTGAGCCAAAATATGCCAAGCTGAAGAACCTAAATTTAGTTTTAGAATTTTGTTATCGTTCTTCGCTTCTGCTGTTGTGAATATTCCTTTTTTATACTAATACAGGAATATTCCGAGAGGGTGTCTCCGCTAAGAATGAATTGAAATATAGTTAGTCTTGTTCAGTTTTCCACAATGGCTAAAGATCTGAAAGACGTAACTGTTGACATCAAAGAATTATAGTCTTAAAGAAGTTTACTTCTTCATTTAGAGATCCTTTTTGATAAACCCATAGCAACAGTCTAGAACTGAAACCATTCGAAAATTGATAGTAGTAACTATGGCTTTCAGATTCTTAATTAATGTCGAAACTGAAAAAAGCTAATTCTCTTTCAACTCACTTTCTGAGGGATCACTTCGGAATGTTTCCTTGTAAAATTTTTTACTACTTTTTGGTTTTCTTATTCCACTAAACGAAAATATAATCCATTTTTTGTTTTTCAGCATTTGTTTTACATTATGCATGTTAAATAATGTCTCTTTTTTATTATTTTTAAGTCTAGTCTTATTTTAAATGCTCCCCATGTCTTCTGTCTCGTTAAAATCCAGCTCAAATTCCAATTTTGTCGAAATCTTTTGAGTATGAAATTCGAAGACCAGCAGTTTGAATATTTAAACACTCAAGTGTTCATACACTTTATTTTTTTTATCTCCTATGTTTTTTGTCAGATACTCTTATTAAGATGCTCTTCGATCTCTAATGTACCACATCACCTTATAAAAGCATCTTAATATAAGATGCATCATGTATCCATTTTATTTTAGCCGCAATTAGAATTTTGAAGGAGTTTATACAGTCCTAATGACTAGGACCGAAACAAGAATCTTAGAATAAGACGAATGAGAAAAAAACAAATCGGATAGCACTTAGAAGCACTGGCAACTCTGACTTCGAAATATCAGTATAAGCAGACTTCTCCCTGTACAATAAGAGTAGACTATCATGTCTACCAAGTTGACCTTGACCTTTAACATTTGATAGAATAGACAAAAAACTTCCCAACAATTCTCTTTTCTCTTCATATCTACGCTGTGCTGTAGAACAAAATGGTTATTTAGTCAAGTTCGAGATACCGACAGAATGCAGGAGCAGGTTTTTCCGGCAAATATCATAGGATCTCGTTTATCCTGCAGAATTTGACTGGATAGTAGGTTCCTCACCGGATTTTTATTGGAACTGAAGACATGCTTCAGGTTCACCTTTTTTTTACTGTTTTACTTTTGTATTACACATATATTATTTACGATTATAACTGAACATTATATTGTTTTTCAAAACAAAATTTTTAATAAAATAATTTTAAGAGACAAACATCATCAAAATAATAGAGAACTGCCGCCAAAAAATAAGAAAAACTATGTATAGATAATTAGATTTTGCATCACCAAAAATTACTGTAGAGTTAGGATGGAACACGTTAGACGATATCGTCTCTTTCAACTTGTGCTTTGTTATTCTACAGTCTGAAGAAAATTGGTAATTAATTATTATTCATCTAGTAAATTTCTTTTTTTTTCATGATAATTTTAATTCATTGAATTCATAGCCTACAATATGTTTTAATTGAAAATTTTTTCGAAAGTGAAGGAAATGTTATTATATGTTTATCAAAAGTGTGCATCCTCTATTGTATGTGTAATAGCACCTCGGTCAGTGTATCAACAATTCATCTAAAACCTTCAGCATAAATGAATCTCTGTCTTACACATAATGGTTAAAATATCAAGCCGATAGAAATCTTATAAACCACAATAGGAAAGAATTTCTTATAATTAATCTTTCCAGAAATTTTTTTTATTTCGATCGTATTTTACACTGACATATGACCACTGATTTTCAACTTGAAATCAAAGTTGTAGGAAGCTATGATTAACTCTATCATGTTCTCTATATTGCTATATGATGCGGCTAAAAAAAAATGCGCAAGATAAGAAACCGTAGATACTACGTAAGTGATTTTTATATTTCTTTGACACTTGTGTAATAGCGACACATCTTGTTTCTGGAAATTGGACCAGTCATCTGTCAATTTTAAAAGAAATAACGGTATTTCCAATCTCCACCAGAGTGTGCTCGAAGTTGCTGATAAAAAATCTTTTTGTAGTTTTCTGTACATGTTTTCGGGTGGCCCCGACTTTACTGGATAAAAAGCACGAAAAATCAAGTGTATGTATTTAGAGTTGTGGAAAAGTGATTTTTCTCAACTCTAAATCAACTTTATTTTTTTCCTCACATCGATATGAAAGGGAGAATTTTATCGTATTTTAATTAATCAATCTATTGTATTTTTTGCAAGTTAATTTGATAATCAGAAGAAAATGATGGTATATTAACTGCGAGGAAAAATGAAGAATTGATCAATCAGATGTGAATTAAAAAATTTTCTTCTTATTGAGAAGTTTGAAAGATACCGTCTACGTGCGTCCTCTATTTTGGTGTTAAAAGGTTTTTCTTTGCAAAAATGGATTAAGCAAATGTTTTGAATCTATTTAAAATAGTCTTTGTGACTTTATTTTTAACGCTAATATATTGTTTTAAACTTTTTGAAAAATTAGGTGTGAATTGGACTGTTCGAGGACCAACTTTGATGAAATCTAAATGGGTATCGATCCACAGCTAGATTATTGATATAGAAGCAGCTGTTCGAAAAAAAGAATGAAAGAATGATTTTCATTGAGAATAACAAAAGATGGAAATCAAAATTTTCTCCGCTTTCTGCTATTGTGAACAGTTTTTCCCCTTGAAGTAACCCAAAAAAAAACGTTTCCTTTATATTCTCTTGCAAGTAAACCTTGTCGAAAGATATCTACAAATCAAATTGAACTAAGTAGTTCTAAAGGTTTCTACAACGGTTTCTCAGAATCATTCATTTTGATTTTTAGAGAAATGAGTATCGCTCAAGATCCAAGTGTTTTCAGTGAGATTGATCTCAACGATAACGACAATAATGATACTACGAAACACAGACGCAAAAGTTTTCGCCGTCCACCACCACTTATTTCATCCATAAAACAACTGACATCACCTACTTCATTTGGTAATCCATCGCCAAATGATGTATTTGAAGCTTGCTTTGATTTAATAGACATAAACCCTAAACGAATGACATTAAGCCATAGTAGTACACATTATGGTGACAGTGAATCATCTGGTGGAGGTGGTACGGATAGTCCACGTTTATCATCGAGTTCATCGCCGTATATATCTACAAATAGCTCCATTCATAATGAAACTGATGAGTCAAGTAACGATAAACAACAACAACAAAGTCGTCTTAGTCGATCTTATAATCTTAGTAGACAAGATTCCATAATTGATAGTTTATTATATGCTATTTATGATAGAGAACATCATGAAAGTAGTTCATTCAGTGACATAACATGTACGGAAATGTCCACTGCTCCTTCAATAACAACAAATCGTTTGAGTGATTCGGCTAATGAAAACAGAACGAATACAACATCATGGACAAAACCGGTTTTAATGAAGAAAAGTAAGTATCAACTTGTCTTTTCATATTATCATCGAGACGAAAAAATCAAATTAATTTTTAATATTTTAGGATTAAGAACCTTGAAAATTTTTTTCCAATAATTCCAATAATTTCATAAATTTTATCAGCATGTATATTTCCTATAAATAATTTATCAAAATCTTTTGTTCTCGACGTTTGTTGTTTCAATAGTGCTAAATATTTTATAAAATAGTTATCAATTTTTTTTTCTCCGTTTTACTTCCGTTAATTGTACTCTCGTTCTCTTTCTTTTATTCTTTTTTATATTTGTAGGCGTCACAGATCTTCGTTATATTGTCACACAAATTCAACTACATATTAGTCAAGCTAATTCATTATTAGTGAGAAATTTACGTCATCGAGATAAAAATTTGAATAAACTCCAACGTAATTATGATATTATTACGGCTATTTTACAAGCAGCATCATTGAAAAGACGTAAGTCAGTAAAAATCATCTATTTTAAAAAAAAATTAATTGATAAAAGTGTTAAAAAATGTTAAAAAATTTTATTTACTTCATATTGATATTAAAAAGTAACTAATTAATGACGAACAAATGAGAAATAAAATGAATGTAATATTTTTTAAATTAAAATTTAACATATTTTCTACTGATAAAATTTGATAAATGAAATATCTTTATGGAATATATATAGAAGATTGTCAGAACACAAATGTGACAAATTGAATTAAGTGAACAATCATACCTTAAATTTGATAATATTTTTTAGACTTGTAGAAAATGTGTATGAATCTTTGCAACATATTTTTCTAAATCAAAATCATAATCAGATGATTAAAATTGTAGGATGTATACCGTTAACATTGTTTAATATATGAATAAATAAATTCTACAGAAAATAACTAAGTAAACAATAACTTCCGTTTCCTGATTTATAGATCCGTATAGAGAGTACTAGGAATAACTCAAAATAGTTCTTTTGTCAATTAACTTCAAAAAAAAAGATAAAAATAATACGGAATATATTTAGCTTTTTTCAAAAAGAAATATGAGAATCAAGAGTTCATATTAGAACAACGTATACTGAAAATGGATCGCCTACATTTTAGATGTTCTGACGTCAATATGTAATACGGAAAATGTATTTTTATTTTTTTTTTCTTCTACATCTAACATTTTTATTTTTTGAGTGGGCATATGAACGAAAGAATTTCTAAGAAAAAACCCTCCTACGTGTAGTATATAGAACAGAAGAAGAAACAGAAGTTGATGAACAATAGACATCACATCTATCTGAAACTATATATAAAATAAAAATTCTTTTTGTTCTATATACATCATATGATGAGACAAACTTATGTTTCTTTTAAGATAAAATTTTTCTTCTTTTTTTTTTTCTCTCCTATTTTACTGTTATTCTCAAATATCTATTATACTTGAAAATGTATAGCTGATTAAATAAAAAGATAGAAAATTTATTTTACGGAGAGAAAGAAAGAGAACAAAGACTAGAATGTGATGTAGAGTTGAGATGGAGAAGAAAAGAATCATACAATATGTTTGATTATCATTGATAAACAACGAGAAGTAGTAGCAACATATTGATAATTATTATCATGTATACAAATTGAAAACGTCAAGAAGTAAGTTAAATTCAAGTTCTCGTTAACTTTAAAAACAAATAAAATAAAAAACCGATTATATTTCTCTGTCTTATTCATCAATTATTGTTTATTCTAAAAAATTTTTTAAATTTTTTTTAATAAACTGCGTCAATCATTGTTGTTGTTGTTTTTTCTAAAAGCTTTTTCTTTTTTTTTTGCTATTTTATGTTAGATGATACTCCTTAGTTCAAATTTTATATAGAATTTCCTTTTAACACCGTTCATAAAAAAATTCTAAAGTAGAAAATGATATTTTTCAGTACACGTATATGTTGACTATGAAACGTTATCTTCATATTTTAAAGACAGGATGAAGTGATTCTATTCATGCTATATATAATTTAATAAAATATAAAAAAAATTGAATACTGCAACTAACGACGGAAGAGAAAGTAGAAGGAGTAGTTCATCATTTTAGTTGACATGAAATGATTGTATTATATAATTATATTCGATATTTGTAGGACGCAAAAGACTCTGATTATTAACTGAAAATTCCTCTTAAATTAATTCAAATTATGACAGTTGGTCTTCCTCTAAGTTGTTCGTATACGACAAATAATAATATTAACGGAATAAATGAGGAAAATATTGTTTTCTTTGATGAACAACCATTAATTTTACCTAATACAAGTAAGATTATTTAATTTAAAAAAAAAAAATATTCGTGTTTCGATGTTATACTACTGTCACTAATTCACGTATGCTTTTTGTGTTTGTTCTGTTAAAAGATAGTTTAATGAAGTAGATTAACGTCATTATTTATATTCAAAAATTTCACTAAATTGATAAATAGAAATTAGAAAACCCTATCCTATTTTAACATGCACGTAGTTATTTTCACATCAAAAGTTTCACCATTGTTGATGATAAATAGTAGTCTCCATTTTTGTTTTAATATTTCATTATGAATGCTTTATGTTCTTAGTGTAGTATGTTGGTGTTTTATGGAATCTTGTATTATATAGTTTGATTGTATAGGTAATTATTTATAATTAATTTATAATTTTTTTTTGTAGGCGAAGACACACAAATGAAATTTTCATTAGCTCCATCACAAGGTGATAAGGGATTTCAACAATGGAAAGATGCAATATGTGTTGCATCTCGTATGCCTAATGGAGTACCGCCTCCTGTTCGACAAAAAGTACGCTTTAAATTATCATATACAGTCCATTGAAAAATAAAAAGTCCCCTTGTTGAATGACTAAATAATGTTCGAACAGAAAATGTTACAAATGTTTTGTTTTCACTTTCATATTGTCAAAAAAAACCTATATTCTATCTGAATAACTACGTTCACAGACATGCTAAAGTCGTTAAAACTAGAGAAAACTGAATTTGTGCTCTTTTTTCCATCCAAGATTCGGTATGTTGTAATTAGCTGTATGTAATTAGCTTTTCTGAAGTTTAATCGGGTAATTGACCATGCCTCTATTCAAGAATAATAGTTTTATCTCCATCTGACATTCACTCGATATCAATTACTTTCTACTTATTTATTTTCCAGCAAAAATATATCCAAAAACTTGTCTTTTTTTCTCAATGTTCCAGAAGTTTAATGTGTCTGCGAATGTGATATTCGGCTTGAGCATAGGTTTTTCTTACAAATGATTTCTGAATAGATTGTAATAAGAAAAATTGTTTTTTTTAGCTATGGATATCATTGGCTTCGAATTACATTCGTGAAATACGTCTTGATTGGAATAAAATACGAAAATTTGCGTTTAATAATTGTGCTAATTCAGATGACGATGAACTTGGAATTCAAATTGTCAAAGTGAGTATCGATAAACATCTTGTCTCGTAGTTGACAATGTTGAAAAATGTCTTCTCTTTAGGATCTCCATCGTACAGGTTGCTCTTGGTCAGATAATGAACATGATCGTTCAACATTGAAACGAGTATTATTAGCATTTGCACGATACAACAAATCAATTGGATATTGTCAAGGTTTAAATATCTTAACAGCTGTTATATTGGAAGTAGTGGATAAAAATGAAGAAGATGCTCTAATGGTTCTCATTTATTTGGTTGATAAAATACTGCCGGATGGCTTTTTTACAAATAATTTACGAGCATTAGCAATTGATATGGCCGTATTTCGAGAATGGTTGCGTATTTATAATGTAAAGTTGCATAATCATCTGCATCAACTCCAAATTTCATCAAAAGATGCATCAGGTAAAATTATTCGTTCTGTTTTAATAATAATTAATGAACTTAAATGAAGAGATCTTGTTTACACTTCAAAAACCATGAGTAAATAATTTAAAAAAAAAGTGTTCTGATGTACACCCAGCGAATGCACTTGTTCAAGTCCTTTCATAAGTTTTGCTCAGCGTTTCTAGAATTTTTCGCAAATAAATTAAATATTTGACAGAAAAAGGTCATTTACTTAAATTACTTTACCTTTTTGTGAAGTACTTGGCTAAGAGCTTGCCAAAGTAACCGACAAGTATCTGTGAAAGATCCAACAAGTAAATCGAGTATCTCACAAGTACTTTCAGATACTTAGACGAGTAATTATCAAGTGTTATTTTATGAAAATATTTGTCAAGTAGGAATTTACAAATAAAGAAGTATCCGCTTGTAAATATATTCACTAGGATATGTTTTAAATTGGAATGATGCTTCTATCATTTTCATCAGTTTTAATGTTTGATCATCTAATAACATTGTTAATAATTTATGTATATTAATGTTTTGTTAGGAACAATTTATGAACCACCTCTTCTCAATGTTTTCACAATACAATGGTTTTTAACATTGTTTGCCACATGTTTACCACGACCAGCTACATTACGTGTATGGGATGCCTTATTACTTGAAGGAAGTGAAGTTCTATTTCGTACGGGCCTTGTTATTTGGTCGAAATTAGCCATGTAAGTCTGATCTATTACTTTATAAAAACTATATATAAGTCATCGTCTTTATTCATTTAGCTCTGTTCTTAAAGTACAATCAGCCGATCAGTTTTATAGTGCAATGGGTTTATTATCAGTACAGCTTCTAGATGAGAAAATAATCGATGTTGATAATTTAATTCGGGTATATATTATTACAGATTAAGTATTCTATGCCATTAAACTATCGATTGTTTTTTGTTTAGGATATTTATGCTTTTGGACCGTTTCCAACTTCTATTCTATCGGAATTAAGACAAAAATTTTCCTTCAATATAACACCATTTCAACAGTTATCATCATCTAATAATGTCGCTGATCGTACTTCGATGAAATCACAACAAAAAGATGGACAAATTTTAATGGATATCAATGGTTTATCTACTAGAGTAAGCATATTGAATATTGTAAGATATCTGATTTATCAATGAAAGTTTGTTTATTAGCATGGAGATTATAAATCATCCACTGTAACAAAAAGATCGTTGAACAATACTCAAAATCATGGCACGGATGAAGAGACAGCAGCCGATGAAGAAATTGTGAATTTTATGTCATGTTTTTCCATATTAGCTTCATCATCACGAAATAGACGTATGTAAAAAAAAACAATTCTTTTTGTGGACCATTTAGAACACATAATATACGTTAATTATAGTTGAGCACAATTCACCTGAACAATCATGGGCAAATTCGGCCAATAGCAATAGTGTTGTTTTATCTCGTGTAACCCCCGGAGCATATTCAAACGTTCCCGAAACACACAAAACAAATTCAATTGAAGATTCATTATCTCTCGATATAAATCAACTACATAGACAATATAAAAAATTACGTGAAAGACAAAAACAAGCTCAAATTATAATGCAAAGTAAGTGGCAACTTTTATTCTATTTATAATATTTAAGCGATTGTTCGTTCATGGATCAGATAAATTTTAAATGAGTTTATTATGTTTATTTTAGCTGCATCCGCCGAACAACGAAATCGTTCTCGTGCATCATCTTTGCATCCAAATGATTCTCGACGAGTGGGACCACCACCTACGCCTACACTAAAATCAACACGAAAAACAGATGATTTATCATCTGGAACTATATCGGATGCTACGCTGTCTTCCACCAATGTATCAAATAATAAAAATACATCACCGCTAACAAAACAACATTCAACCGTCTGCTCGATCAAAGGAGGTCCATTGGTATGTGATAAAATCTTCCCTTTATAGTCTGTTTTATTTTTCCATTTTTTTTCCTTTTTTGTAGATTAATCATCTTTTATTAAAAGCAGCTGATCCTAAACGAAATATGTACAAGAAGAATGTTTCGATTAAAGCTCCTGTCTCTACTATTCAAAATACACGATCTAATAGTATTGTAGATTCAACGAAATACACATATCCAGATACACCATCAACAGAAACGTCAAAACATGAGAAAAAACAAGTATTATCAGAAGATGACACTGTTGAAGAAGATGTCGATATTCAAATTGAAATAGAACAATTATTAACAAGTTTAAATCTCGAAAGACCTGTCATACAAAAATCTGTACCTAAAATTACTACAAAACAACCCATAGACGATGAAAATAGTAGTACAACAGACAATGAAACTGAGAATCGTTTAGAAAATATTGCCCGTACGTTATATGATTATCAAAAGACACAAAATTTATCTGAAACAGATTCGGATAGCAAAAATTCTAATATTTTCGCATCTAAGCAACGCAATGGATCAATAATGGGTCGTTTATTGACAACAAATCCAAATGGACCACGTTACAGTTCATTTAACCCATTTCCATCACGATCATTTAATGAAAATGTAGCTATGAATGGTTATAAATTAGGATTATATGCTCCACGTTAAATAATAATATGTTACATTCCATTCTTCTCAAACCACTTCCAATTACTTTACACCGAAGATCATAAAGGAACAACAAATATAATACAATGAACATAGTCCATCATTCCATTTTACTGCCGTTCATTATACAGAATTTTTCTTTTCTCATATATGACGGTTTTCAAATAGCTTGTTTTACTAGAAAAAACTGTTAGAAACAACATCATTATTCAACATTTACTCGAAAATTTAAATGCATGAAAGCAGAAATCTTCTCTTTATATTTTTGTTTGTTTAATGTTCAGGCGATAATTTTTTTGTTAAAATTGACTTTCGTTTCCAATCTTTCATCTTTGCAGTCAACACCTAAAGAACAGTGAATCTCGTTCTTCGTTCATGTATTATATCCTTTTTCTTCACGCTCTGTGTTTTGTCAAAATAAGAGAGAATGATCAGATTAGAATACAGTCATCGGCGTTCGGGATCAAAATAGTTAAATATATCAGTAAATTCATGACAAAACCGTTTTGCTCAAACTGTGTATATATGTCCTTTTTTTCATTGTGCAACATAAAACAGTGAAGTGAGATCTCTTTTTATTTTTAATTCTCTTTTTATCTTTTACATCTAATATTTTAGGATTTAAAATCTCAAATATATGTATGACAGCAGTCTCTTTGTTTGTTACGGGAATTGACACGTTTTGTTTTTGCAATACGTATATATCAGACGAAAAATTTTCATTTTCTTTTTTTGTTGTATTTGTCATTTTAGGATATTCTATTTGATATTTTCTAATCGCATGACAAATGTTCTTTTTTCGGTTATTATTAATAATACCGGTTTATTTGACTGTATTCTTATTTTAAATGTCTCAGATGCTCATTTTACTTTTGATTTATTTTTGGCTTATATTTCTCAATTATTTTCTTAAGTATGCAACGAAACAGCCATTTTCCTGTTTGGTAAAAGCGATAGTTTACTTCGGTTTTCTCTATTTATCATCACGTTTTCTTTCTTAACAATTTTATTTTACAATAAACTTGTTTGTCTTGTTCGACAGTTATAATTAAAATGGGAAAAATATAAAAAGTATTTTCGATCTTAAGCTAAAATGATTTATGTTCTCAAGTGAGAATTTTGATGACTTACATAGGAAATAATCTGTCGTGTTATATTTTATCAGTACATTTTTCAAAATCAGTAATTTAGAATACAAATTTTACTCTTAAAGCTACTATTAAAATCATTTTATCTTTATGTTTGCCATATAATTTTCTTTTCCATATAAACTTCTGTAAAAATTAACAACACTTTTAATAAGAGAAGAAACGAGACCGTCTGCGAATCAGCAACTTCCAATTGAAAAGATATATCAGTAGTAATTGTTTATTACATCATAATTCATTAAATGATGAAGTTATGTTTCACTGTACCAGTCTTCCACTCCATTTATCACACAATTCCTGGATGCTTATCTCAACAAATTAACAAATAAACAATGATTGTTTTAATAACAATATTCAAACACAATTTACTCAGACGGATTACAGTAGCATGTAGATCAGTCATGAGCAGCTTTAAGCAGGAAAAGAGGGTTAAATAATATCGATTTAACTGGTGGCCCATAAAGAATATCCTGTTCAGTATTTTTTCAATGTGCCCTTCATTTTTCATAGTAAAGAATCGAACATTTTTTTAAAAGATTCAGTTTTTAATTCTCTACAAAGTCACAGACTGATCTCTGTTATAGAGTTAAGGTAAAAAGGTTATTATGAGAATACCGAAAACGTACATCAACAACTTTCAAGCATAAATATACAAACTGATTTTCGATTTCTTGCTCCTAGCAACACACTTGTTTAAGAACTTCAAAGCATCATTTCTAATACAATAAAGTACGCTCTTTCTAATGAGACCTAACAAAGAACATTTCAATCAAACGTATCGATAAAGAATCTATTTTTTGGACAGCAGGTCGAAATCTGCCTATCTGGTCTTGCTGTTTGAACTCACCGGAAAGGAAAAGATATTCACTCAGGATTAAGATAGACATTCGTATTATGGCTCAGCAGCTTCAATATTAAAAAAATTGTTAAAAAATGTTAAATTTTGGTTGAGTTACATGAATTTTTCCACAACATGCAATACTACAGAACAAAAACACGGGTTTGTTCAAAATCTGAGAAAAGTAAAACTTATTTTGTGCGATAGAAATTTCATATGAAATTTTTTTTTTTAATACACCCGTATGATAGAGCTTTTCGAGCTCTACAAAATAGCTCACGTAATTTTTTTATATCTCAGCATCAACATACGTAAATACAAAAAAACTGAATTTTGTGCTTGAAAGTTGTTGATTTTGTACGTTTTCGGTATTCTCACAATAACCTTTTTACCTTTAACTCTATAACAAAGATCAGTCTGTGGCTTTGTAGAGAATTGAAAACTGAATCTTTTAAAAAATGTTCGATTCTTTACTATAAAAAATGAAGGACACATTGAAAAAATACTGAACAGGACATTCTTTATGGGCCACCTGTTACTTTGATTTCGCGTCAGATTCAAGTTAGTGATTTGTTAGCCATGAATTTATTTTAGTCCTTTTAACTCGACAGAAATGAGTTTGGCTTTTGTCTATTCTGTGATACTTTCTAGTACATTTTGATGTGCCCTATTCGTCGATGAGATTAGTTTGAATTTTCCAACTCAGTTCATGTCAATATATAGCTTAGTATTTGGAAAAAACAATCCCATCGCCTTAGCATCGCAAAGGAACCGGGCAAACGGTATCTTTTAATCTAAAAAATCTTTTTCCACGATCCAAGCGAGTTTTTTCACTCAGGAGTATTCGTTTCAAGGCAGACTCATAAAACAAATACAAACCTTTTGCTGGTATCAATTTTGCTTCGACAATGAATTTTTTTCAAAGATGGGCGAACAATTTTTCACTGAAGAAAAACGACGTATTTTCAGTATTTTTCGTACAAAATAAAAACAAAACAGAACTAAATGCTGATCATGCCTACATATGGACAAGACAATGCGCTCTGCATGATGGTGAAAACGGCGACTCTCTAGCATGTATGATTTCCAAATGGGAAACGAAAGAATATGATACTATAGCGGTGGGCGAATAATTTTTCGATCTACTGTAAAATTGCTTGACGTATTTGTTCGCTCGTTGATGGTTTTATTTTAAAAGCATCATCAATTGAAATTATGAACTGAAAGCTCATTGCTTTTGAAGAAAAACGTTCCAAAAAGGTGAAATTATTGTAGATATATCATTATTTACAGCCTTTCATCTAGAAAAACCGTAGAAAGAAGATAAGTTCCATCTTCTTGTACTTTATTTATATATATCCAAAATGTATGAGAAGATTTGTAATCGTTTCCTAATTTGCTAAACTATTGTTTCTTATAGCTTCTCAACTCTTTCACTACTTTATTACGGATACAACAAATTTCAAACGGAGAACTCAATGGATTTGTTTATTTTTCAAAAGTAACTTATCGCATTCATTACAGAACGCAGTAACACATGTTCGAGCGAAAAAATAGTAATTCTGGAGTTTTTCTATCTTTCAGCTCATTAATAATGTGACTGATGATTGGTTGCATTGAGCATGTTCAGCGTGCTATTAACACTGCTGACTAACTAAAGCATAAAGTGTGCATACACGTGTACAAATTCTCATCTTATCTCAATTATAACTTTTTTAGAATTTCTTACTTTTTTCGATTTGGATCATACCTCTGTATTATTTATAGAAGGAAAGTCACACAGTAAAATCTCATAATATAATTTACTAAGCGCATCAGAAAAAGAGATAGCTCAAAGAGTCAATCAGATGGGTAAAAAACGCTGCCTAAACATGTCAATTTTTTAACTAATAGACTGCTTAGGACATGCCACTAACTGAAATAATGACGTTAGTTCACATAGAGAACAGTATAGCATTGGTTTTCTAACAGAATCAGAATTTTAGGTCTTCCAAAATACATGATCAGATTTAGTAAAAATCTGATCATGTATTTTGTAGAAGTTTTATACTTATTATTCTCTTCAATATTCTCTACCGCTCTTCCTTCTTGTTTTTTAGGGCTTCCCCTTCTTTTTTCACCTTGTCGATGGAATCAAAGACCCAACTGACCCCAGATTTACACCAGACATAAAACATCGATGTATTTGCATCCAGAATTTCTTGATCTTTCGTGGGGTTTACTGAAAAACTTAGGTTTTATAATGTTCCACCTACCGATAACTGCGTCCGATCAGATCCAAAATTTTCGGTCAATTCAAACTTATACTACAGATATTTCAAAACGGTAATTTTGTTTTTTGGATTTTTCTTCTCGAAATATGAAATTTGGGAAAAATCCTAGGTGAAACCTAGAATTTTGATTTTGAAAACTGTATACTCGAAAAGGGAAAAATTAGGAACGAAAAAACAAAATTAATGTTCTGAGATATCGTCTTAGGTATCTGTGGTAAATTTTTGAGCACAATCGAATAATGTTTCGAAAAATAGCTGTCTCTGAGCTAAAGAAAAATTTCAGTATCTTTGTTCTAGATGATCTATTATAACTCTGTACAAAAAGTACATAGATGTTTCGAACTATAAGTAACTGAAACGTTTCTGATCATATAAAACTTGTTTGCGTTCTTCCTCGATTGAATAGTATTTGTCTATTGAGGTGATACATTTTAATTTTTCTAAATTCGCTGAATCTCTTTTACCCCATCGTTGGCAGACACACTGTCTGACTTTATTAGAACATATTTTCGCTTATAGTAAAAATTTGCGCTTTAAAAAAAGTTACTTATAATAAAAAATATCGTGTTTTTCACAACTAAATAACGACTGTTTTGTTTAAAAAATAAAAAGTCAGCGTAAAAATAGATATATTTGTTTACATGTATATTGCACAATAAAGAAAAAATGTAAACACAAAAAAAACATAATTAACCAAAACGCAATTTATTATTACTTTTGAAATCTTTTTATATCCGTTTCCATGAATTTGAATCTAAAAACATTGTTTGAAATGATTGCACATAGACTCATCAAGATTATTTAGCGTAGATACTCGATTAAATAAAATTTCATGTGTACACATGTTTAAGAATAGAAAATTCATCGTTTAACAGTAACAGGATTAACAAAACACAGGATATGTCTTTCGATCAGTAAACGTGTATTTATGCAAATGCTTAGCTAAAAGACTATTGATTAAATGATCCCATTTTTAGTTGCAATAAGGTCATGGCAGCATCGACCATGTCACCGTCTGTATTTAAGTTTTTGTTTGAATCTTCTTTCAGTGATAAATGAGTTTGCTCTTCTACTGATTGTAAATGAAAAATATTTTCTCGTTTGATGTTTATTGATGCTGATAAATGTGAAAAAACGCGTTCGTTTCGTCGTTTAGGAACGATATTTTCATCTGTCAAATTTTTATCATCTGTTGAAAGTGTTTGTTTTAATGTAGTTATTCTGAATTTTTTAATTTTTTTTATTGATGATTCACTTGTCGATGATATATGTTGATCTTGTTCTGTTGAATTGTTTGTCTGTTTATGTCTCAATAAAATATGTTTTCGTTCATTTGATAATCTCATATAAATATTTTTTATCTTTTCACTGTTCAACGATAATTGTTTATCATTCATTGTTATCAGCATGTCTAATAATAGTAAACGTTTTGTTGTGTCCACTGTCCATAATGGACATCGCAGTTTATTACCTGTGAATGGATCTTTTGTTATTTTGAAAAAAAATGATATTTGTTTTGTCATATGATAACGTATTTTACTTTTTAATCGAGCACTTTTTATTAATATTTCATCCATTGAAGTTGTCGAAAATAAATTAGTTGATTGCTGTTCAATATTGTCCTCAATCCATTTGCATATTTCATTTAGTGTTAATGCATGATTCTTTGACTCTTCTATTGCGAATAATATCCAAAAACATAAGCCGGAATTTGGAGACGGTAAACCAGTGATTGATGAAGATTTAGAAAGATAGTCATTACCATTTATCATAACACGTTCACTTGATGAATTCAATGACGATGTTGAATACGTATCGATTTCGTCGCTATCAGAGGAGAGAATATCGTCATAAACTCGTATCGTTTGAGTGGTTAATTGCTGCAAAGAATATATTGGTAAATTTGTGCTTAATATCGGTTGTAGTTTCGACGACGAAGGACGATGTAGAATATCTGTTTCTGTTAACCAGGTCAATTCAGTTAAATCGTCATTACCATTGGAAAAATTGTCTTCTTTTGTATTCAATCGATGTGCAAACATATCTTTTTGTTTAGTAGCTCTTTTATCTCAGTATCTTATCCTTATATTTGAAGTTTCGTATTATTTAAGCCAACTTGAATAAATTTTGTGTCGCTTTTTTTTCTTCATATAAAAACAGTAGAGAAAAATAAAATACTTGAAATGAACAAAAATCAGCTAGGTCTGAAAAGCTTCTTCAGAATTTGAGGAATATTAGAATCGATTTCACCTTTATTAAAATGTATGTCCTGATTAATCAATTAAATCTTCTACGATGAATTCTAGTGATGAAATCAGACCTGATTTTCCTGGAAATAAGTACTCAGTGAGAAATAAAAAAATTTCCACAAAAGAATTTCTCATATTTCTGTTATTAACCAAATAATGAAAGTAAAATTTTCACGGTTTTACATACGGAAGTAGATTATTGTATATTCTATATTTTAATAGTATAATGTGTTGTGTTTGTCAAATATCAACACCTAATGGATGGTACAGTCAACTTCCCACATCATACTGATTCTCGACTATCTGTTATTCTCTCTTCTGCTTATTTTGTTGTTATATACACTTTTTTTTGTATATAACCAAAATAGAAAGTTTTCAATGCTTTTTTTAGCCAATTGCATCCAACTAAAACTTTTATAGATTTGTCATTGTGCTCGGGTTTTTACAATTTTTAGAATAATTTAAATCTACCTTTTTGTCATGTACACTATCGGTGAATCATGCGCATGAATGCAAAATTATTTTTTTTACTTTAATTCCTTACCGCTAATTTGATCGAGTCTCAAGACAACTGAAATTGTTCTACTGTGATATAATCTTTCGTAAACTATCTTCTCCTGATTCATACTGTTGAATGTTACAAAAACATACGTTTTTGAATCTGATTGGAATGAGAAAAGTTTTTCTCTTTCAAAATGATGTTAGTGTGTCTGTAATATTTTTTTTGTTTTTAAATTTTTACATACGAAGTTCTTGATGCTAACTAATTTTTTACCGTTTAATGTTTGTTAAAAAATATTTCTGTATTATGAATACTTACCTTAGTAATAACTGATTTAACATATTGATCATTTTATTACTTGTGACAGCGTAAAAAACAAATGTTCATATCCGACAGAGAAATGGAAAAAATAATAGAATTATTATGCATTTTGTTTTCTCATTTCTCGTTTTCTTCAGAGACCTTTTTTCTTCCTATTTACAAATCTTTTAATAGTTTAGGTATTACTCTCGTCGTATATAATAGAGAAAATAAGATCATCGAAGAATCAAAAACTAAATAGAAAATTGAAAAAAAAAACAAAATATGTGTATACATATGTCATGCAGGATGATAGTCATAGAAAGAAAAAGAATAATCCTACAATTATTCTTTTCTTTAATCCAAATGAGAATTAGAGTAACACTAACGACAAATATAGAAAACGAGAAATGAAGGAATTTAATAGAAAAATAAAGATTGAGATTTAGCCATGTTTTCTTAAAAGAAATTGATGTTTTAATAATACTCTAGTGGAGCTTTTGGAATCAAAACATTATAAGAAATAAGAAAAACTATGAGAATGACATACTTCTTGCGTCAAGATCTTGACAAGAAATACAAAAATGTTCTAAAAATCCGGTTTATTTTCGAGACTGAGTGCTGCTCTGTCCTGAGAATGTTATACAGCGGAAGAGATTAAAGATATACTAATCTCTAAGGAAACAAAAAGCCAAAATTTTCCAAAACAAGAATATATTCTTATCATTTCCATGTAAAATCGAGTAGTGATGTCTACGTGTTACTGAACGTAAAAGGAAATTATGATTTAGATGCAATTAGAAATTTTTCACTAGTATCACGCAAAATGAGAGAAAAAAATAGAAAGAAAAAATAATTTTATTTTCTATTTTCTCTCGTAGACTATTAACCTTTTTCTTAGTTTTATCATCTCTTATCGTTTTGTTAAACTATTTGAAAAACTGCTTTTTTCCGCGATTCTAATATATGATATTTTTTCTTTCTTCTTTGCTAAAAAGAATCGGGAACTTGTACACTATCATATGTGATGAGTGATAACCCCATTCCTTAGAGCTCCCTATCTATTGCACAAACGATGTTTACTCTGGAGACAGAAAAGCAAACTCTTAAGTGATCTCATTACTCAATAAGATGTTTTCTGACACATTACTCTTCAAATCCACGGAGTGAATGTACTTAAGGACAAGTACTTAGTTACTTGCAAATTTTCAAGAGTACTTGTTTAAGCAGTTATCAAGTGTTTCTAGATTTAATAAGTACCAGGTACTTCTATACATTTTGCAAGAACTTATCAAGTTATCTATATCTGTTAAATTATTTGAAAAGTACTTTTCTCACTTGCAAAAAACTCTAAGTATTTTGCACATTAATTCTCCAAGTACTTACTTAAAGGCTCCCTCTCAGAAATTATCTCCGACACCCTACATCCGGTTTTTGACGAAACTTTCCTTACGTGTTAGGCACAATGGGTTACTAGAATAACAAATTTTTTTGTCTCCAACTCTTAGCATTTAGAAATCTATTAGGAAGGACCCTGAAGTATTTTCCAAAACTTTTTAACATACTTCAAGCTAGAAAATTCGAGTTTATTTTGTTTTAAACTGGACATCTAATTACATGGGTTGATAGGCGCCGATTTTTCAATTAAGCTTTTGTTCGTTTTGCAGACAAATCCAAAAAACTCCTCCTGGTTTTCTAGAAATACTGAGTTTTTTGTTTTGAACTTGCTAAACTGTGAAGTTCAAATGTATGAGACCGCCAACATTATATCTCCATAACTTAAGGTTTTTTAGGGGTTTTCTTGAAGCCTCCTAAGAGCTTTGCAACTGTCAAAATAAATATTGATGTTAAAATTAAACTAATCATATGAAAAAATATCTTATGGATATCTCTATTATATGTGAATAAAAGAAAATTTTCTGACATTGTTAAAGGAACTTTAAAAGGATTTCCTGAGAACCTTTGAAATTTGAACATTTTCAAAATTCTCATGATATTATTTGACATCCTAATTATAATTAATATACACTAATGAACTTCTAAAATATTTTAATAAAATTTTCAAACTTGAAACATTCTAGAAAAAATGTTTTTGAGAAGAACTTGAGAGGATTTCTAAGAATTTTAAAAGATTATTATCTTCTTTTTTTCTGTTATCCTCATTTTTGTTTTCTCATTTCACACCTTAACTGCTCTCAAGCAGCTTTACAAATTACATTCTCTACTAAAAATAAGTTAATAATAAGATAATGTGGGTGACTAGCTTAATTAATATCATCAAAAGAAGATGATAAAAGATGTTTCGTATGATTAGTATATAAAAATGCGACAACGATCAACTTTTAACATAACAAGATCAAAAGTAAGAAAGTAAAATGGTGGATTCCTATTTCGTCGAAAAGTGGTAACTGCAAAAGTATATATACTTCAAAGAATTTCAAAGGCGGCTGGGCTGGGAGCAGTATATGAGTGAGATTTTTTAAAATGTGTAAAGAGAGACAGTATATAAATGCCATCATTTCTCGTTTAAAAAGTTCATTCAAAGTATTATTATTGTTGTTATTATATCTGATTTAAAAATTCATCCTTCTATATCTTTTGGTGACGTTGAAAATTATATAACATCTAAAAATCCAGATTCATCAAATTCTCTTATTAGAAATAAATGTTATTTATTATTTGATGAAGGCTATATTGACTGTATATATATTAAATTAAATAATGATAAATGTGTGATTAGTGATGTTATACGTCATTCAATGTCAGGTGAATATGCAATGTGTCATTATACCACTATCGCAAACAAATTAGCTATTACAGATCCCTGGTGCGATTGTAAAGTAGGTGCCGGCGGATATTGCGCACATTTATGTGCAATAATGTATGAAATTGCCTGATACAAGATCAAAGCTTATACCATAATACCACCAAAATTAACAACAACAGAACAACCGTGTAAATGGAAGAAACCAACTTGTAAACCAATTTTAGATATTTCTACATAGGAAATTAATAGAACTCAAAAAAAAAATTAGAGAAAGTACTGTAAAACTTCAGTCTCCACTACTTTTGTTGCCTAAAAGACACTTCAATTTTAGTCCGTCATAATTTGCCACATAAGACAAAAAATATAGTTTTGAGCTCATTAGCATTTCAACTCATTACGCTGATTAAGACACAATCGGTTGTACTAGAAATTGTTTTTTTTCGATTTTGATTCATTGAGGTAAGTAGAGATACTCCATTGAAGTACATGGGTTTTCAGAGACAAATCTCTATCGTCTCTCAGGAGTTACTTTTTGGTATTATACCAAATGTCAGAGTTCTTTAGAACGCTAAACTCTATCACATATGTGAAAATCGCCTAGAAGAAGTCATCACGATTTTATATCCAATACTTTTTCTTCACGTTTTAAATGGCAAAAAGTTCGCAATCTAATTCTTCAAGCTCCTAGAGCCATCGAATATTGAAGAGAACATTGAGGTTATTAGATTCTTCCAAATTTTTCTATCGATCAGAAAATGTTGGAGAAAAAAGGATGAGATTTGACCAGTATATCGATGAAATACGTTGAAAGACTACATAATTTCTTAAAAACCCACATCAGTTTAAGTCACCAAACGTTTTTTCGAACGATAATCTTACAGAACAGACTTTCCCCTTCAAGATAAAAGCTCAGATGTCCTTAGATTTGTATTCACCTAGGAGATACTGGAATAATGTCGTCCAAGCAGTGCATTTCAACATCAAAAAGGGAGATGGAGAATTGTTTTCGTGATAAGTTGCAATTCAAGTGCAAGTTAAAGTAGGTTTACATGATTTACTGGCCGCAGATTTACTATCCGTGGATTAATTTCTATTTTAATTAGTTTTCTGTCATAGAAAAGTATAATTTTTGCTATCGAGGATTTACTTTCCGTTGATTACATAGAAATATATCCCAATTAACCACTTTCTTGTATAAGGATTTACTTTCCACTGATTATTTGGACGAAAAGCAATGAATGAGCAAATGAATATTCATTGCGCCGATCAATGTATTATGAGAAAAAAATATATTAGCAGCGCGTTATGCTTCTTCGACTATACGATCTATTGGGCCAGATTCTTCAATAACTTTACGTTTTAAAGTTTTTCTAATATGTAATATTTCCATATCAATTCCATCAGGTAAATGTGTATGATCGTCAGGCACTACAACCGACGAGTCCGACTAACTTGTTACCGTAGCGTTACACTTCACGCATACCCAATATTCTGAACCATTTTGATTTTTACGTTTGAGAGAATATCGATGATCGAGGTAACATAGTTCTCTTTTGCCATGTGTAGATTCAACAAATTCAGCAGACATTATTAAAACTTCTTTCCCAATTAAAACTTTGATTCATCGTTCCCTTATTGATGAATGTTTGTTCCGTTTGGAAATTTATTGGTTGCCGCAATGAATATTCATTTGCTCATTCATTGCTTTTCGTCGAAATAATCAGTGGAAAGTAAATCTCTATATAAGAAAGTAGCTAAATTGGAATATATTTCTATGTAATCAACGGAAACTAAATCCTCTATAGCAAAAATTATACTTTTCTATGACAGAAAACTAATTAAAATAGAAATTAATCAACGAACAGTAAATCCGCGGACAGTAAATGGTGTACGCTTTAGAAGTAGTGTGGCATTTAAAACGTGAAGAAAAAGTGTTGAATATAAAATCGTGATGACTTCTAATCAGTTCTAGGCGATTTTCACATATGTGATAGAGTTTAGCGTTCTAAAGAACTCTGACATTTGGTATAATACCAAAAAGTAACTCCTGAGAGACGATAGCGATTTGTCTCTGAAAACCCACATACTTCAATGGAGTATCTCTATTTATCTCAATGCATCAAAATCGAAAAAAGACAATTTCGAGTACACCGATTGTGTCTTAATCAGCGTAATGAGTTTAAATGATCATGAGCTCAAAACTATATGGTGGAGAGAGGAAGATCCGGGCTATAAAATGAGATATTTTTTAACTAATCATTTCTTAGGCTTAATTAACCAGGAATTGTATACTAAAACTCCATGTATTTGAATGGAGTGTCTCTATTCACCCCAAGCGTACAAGTGAAAATCTCTATTTATCTCTATTGAGTAAGCAGAGACACTTTGATGCAGCTCTCCACATTTTGGATTTGGCTCAAAACTGGTCGGAGATTTTCAAAAGATTTTTACATGGACGTGTAGAAGAACGTTCGATGTATCACCGTATTCAATACCAAATTTTTCCGACTAAAACGGCTGAGAAATCGTAAAAGAACGACCAAAATTTCCAACAGTGTCTTTATTTACCCATAAAATTTATTGATGAATGATTATTTAATTTTTATTTGAAACTTATCTAATAGATAGATATAAATCTATATTCTGAACATTTATTAAGTTATACATACGCTAGAGTAGTGTTCAGTAACGGAATGCGATTTTAAAAACGTCATTAAATGTGATAAAGTATGATACATATTATGCAGATATATTTAAACTCAGATGAAGGCACGTTTCTTCGTGATGATTTCTTTTTTCTGTTATGACTTTGTTATTCAACTAAAGCATACTATTTTATATTCCCGAAGCGAATGAATTATACAATATCATACAATATTCTTACGTGTAGTACCATACTTGAATCGAGATCTTTTCTTGATTCTTTTCTTCTTTTTAGTTTAGAGAAAACTTTCAATCATGGTACAAATTTTTTAATTTGTTTTATAATAAACATATAAACGACATTAAAAAAATCTTCTTATCACATCGACGTGATATTTATATGATTAAAAACATTTATAATTTTCTAACAAAGTGTTAAATAGGCATGTATAATATGTACATGAAAAAGATACAATCTCATTAGTTATTTGCTGTTCAACATGATTGTTCCTCTTCATAAAGTGTTAGCGGCCATTTGGTCCGTGTTTGTTGAAATTGGTAAGTTCCATATACGACAGTTGATTATACGAGTTAATCTTTTGACGAAAAACGATTATTTTCTCTTCAGATATTTTTCCCCGTACAATCTGTTATGATGGCTACGGTTGTTTTACAACAGCCAGACCATTTAGCGGTACTCTTGAACGCCCAGTGGCTCTTCTACCAAACTCGCCAGAAAAAATTGCAACTTCTTTCCTTTTATATACGAGGTATGTTACAAACATCGTTCTATAATTTTAGAAAACTATAATCATCTTATCCCTATGGTAGATCTACAATACACAAAGGAGAAATACTTCATCGCCAGATTCAAAATTTTGGACATTTTGCTTCTAATAAAAAGACCAAAATCATTATTCACGGGTTTTTAGACAATTCAAATTTAACATGGGTACATCAGATTAGAAATAACATTTTAACGATTGTACGTAAAGGTTTAAAATAAAGTAGAATAATTATCTTTTTGTACACATGCAACACATGCAATTTTCAAAATAATATATTTAATCTTTGCACGTTCTCTTGTATTGATAGTTACACATACTCTTTTTCATGTATTCAAAAAAAAAGTTGTGATTGAAACAATATTTAGGAAGATGTTAATCTCATCATTGTAAATTGGACACAAGGAAATACTTTACCTTACACAAAAGCAGTGGCGAATGCTCAGATCGTGGGTATTGATGTTGCTCATCTGATCGAAACACTTATAACGAAAACAAATACAACATTAGAACGCTTTCATATTATTGGTCATAGTCTCGGGTTAGAGTAGTAGATTACGTGCTATGTTTAGTATTTAACGGAGACTTATCTATTGTTTAGTGCACATATAGCTGGCTATGCAGGCGCACGGCTCCCGGGCATAGCTCGAATAACAGGTAAATTATATTTTTTAAGAAAAATTCGAATAACAAGTTATTACTCGTTTGAGGACTTGATCCTGCTGGTCCTTATTTTGAAAACACCGATGAACGTGTACGATTAGATCAAACTGACGCTTTGTTTGTCGATGTCATTCATACTGATGCTATTGCTCCATTTGAGCTTTCTCTCGGAATATCACAAGCAATTGGTCACGTTGACTTTTATCCAAACGGAGGTATGTTTTAAACAGCGTGTTATATTAGCATCATAAACATCGTTTCTTATTTAAAGGCCAAAATCAACCAGAATGTTCTCAAACTGCAGGAAAAATATTGAACGGATTGCTTAATTATGCATTTGAAGACGCCGAAGGTATGGACGCCAAAATATTTTATTCTCAAATATAAATGATCGGTTTTTCAGGAATTATTAAAACAACCGTGTGCAGTCACTTTGCAGCTGTTCACTATTTTACTGATAGTATTCTGAAAAACAGCTGTTCGTATACGGCATTTTCGTGTTTAAATTACAATGCTTTCAAATCTAATCAATGTTTTCTGTTGTGTAATAATGATGCTGGATGTAATCAAATGGGATACTATGCCGATCCGAGCAGATCACTAGGAAAACATTATTTATATACACGAAATATTGATCAAAAAAATTATTGTGGTATTTATCTGTTTGGTATATTCAGATACTTGGCAAACTGTTGTAATACTCGTGCAATATTTTTTAGTTTATCATTATCAGATAGTACTATATTCTGATAGAAATGGTTTTTTATCAGCGAGAGGTGAAGCTATTTTAACTTTTATATCAAATAAATCAATGCCATTAACAATGTTGTTTGGCAAGTGAGTACCTTTCTTTCTATAATGATGAAAATTGATACGTATGTCAAAAAATTGTTCTAGAAAATCTATAGATGAAATTTGACTGGATTACTACTATAAGAGCGTATGACATTTTCTACGGAAATTCAACACCAGGAATCCTATACGATTTCTATTGTAGGATATTGTAAAGTTTCATAGAATCCAATAGTACGAAATCAATACTCACATACCATTCTATTTTACAGTAACAATTTTGCATGAAGAACATGTTTCACGCAAAGATTTTGGACAATTTTTTCTCTATAATCTCGACAGATGCATCAGAGAATTCAATTCGGATACTATAACAGCTGTATTTGATAGAGTGACTAGAGGATCCTGGTTAGGTTGGATTCGTTTCAGTGAAAGTGGCACCAAAAGAAAGAAAAAATAGGTACCTTGAGCGCGAACGTAAATTTGTAGGATCATGTCACGTTTTATAGAAATTATTCGGTAGATGAAATGTTTATCATTTTCCTCCAGGAATGCGAAAGAAAATGATCTTCGATCTGGGTAGCAACATTCTTTTGTATTCTATATATACAAATCATTTTTCTTTTATGTTTGATATTAGTGAAATGCTTACATACACAAGTAATTCCATAAAAACTTGGATGATTCCATTACAAGCTGAGCCAATTGATGAACCTATTCAAGTGAACATAAAATTTCGAAAGACAAAAGAAGATTTAATCCATTGGTTCTATACTGACAAATGGCGTTTTATTAAACTGGTGTTTATAGATGGACAAAAACAGATAAAGTATGTAAAGCAATGAACTTTCTAGAATAATTTTCTTACGCTTTTCTTTTCTTCATAGATACACATTTTGTCCAAATAGTTACCCTAGAACACATACAATATTCTTACCTTGTGTAAATAATTAATGACTATTATTTTAGTCTCTTGGTCTGGATTTGGAAGATAAATAAATAAATGAAAATTGTTTTTCAAGTTTCGAAAGTAAGATAATGACTCTACCATTATGAATACTCTAGCAACATGCCACTAATTGTCTCGTAAACAGTTTTCTCTTTTTATCAGTTTGTAATACTGATTTGTATACGCATATATTTAATATAAAATTGTAAAAAAATTTCTCTATTAAGAGAAGAAAAATAAATTGTTTTTAAAAAAAGTTTGTGTACAGGAAAACCTTTTAGTAGAAACAAAATTTGAAATGAAAAATGACAGTGAAAAAAGAAGAAAGACATCAAGATAACACCACTATTATAAGCAGTGCATATCAGAAGAAATATCACGTAGTACATGAATTTAAGAAATAAATGGATGATAGTATTGATGTTTAACAAAAGTACAAAGTTTTGATTTCTCTCCATCTCATTAATAATAAGCCAACTGAGGACTCTATTCTGTTTCAATCATTTGTGACAAATTAAATCGAATTGAATGTTAAAGAACATTGTAGATAGAGAATCGGTATCATATATGAAGAAACAGTAAACAACACAGATAAATAAATGATAAAGGACGTAACAGATAATTTAGTTTTAAGAAGGTTTCCATGGTTTTCCATGAATGCTGCTTACATTTGAACGTTGCGATCTGACACTAGAACGAATACTCTGTTTACTAGCTACTGTTGATTGCCGAGATAGACGACCTGCGATAGAAATGTCGAAATATTAAGAACTGTTATTTGAGTAAACTAAGAAAAAATTAATACTTACTGCCGGAATCAGTGGGTACCAAATTCATATCGAGTTCACTGCTCAATTTCTCAACGTCATCTGATGTAAAGTATTCACGTTGAGGTAATGATATATAAGATCCTCGATTTAGTCGTTGTGATTGACTTATGCCTAGTGCTGACAATACACCATTATGATCCATTGATTTTGATCGTTTTATTTTGATTCCAGGCGTCTGTGATGTTGTCCAAGATACTGGAAATGAGCCAGTCAACAAACCTGCGGGAAATTTTCGTGCCGCATATTTTAAACCTTCAATAAACAGAATAGATTAGCCACATAGTTTCTAAAAGTCAATTTAAAATGTTTCTTAAAATGTGACTTACCGCCTGTTAGTAAAAATGCATTGTTATATCCACGTTCTACGATAACTGTAACTGCTTTTGAAGCAATACGTTCATCTTCGTCATAAAACACAATAACCTTTCCCTTTTTATTTTTCTGGATAAGCATTAAGTTAAGGTTGTTTATTTAAAATGTTAGAAGCAGGAAATAAATATTATCGCTATATTTTTTACTTAACGTTTATCTCATTCAGAAAACGATTCTTCAACGAGTTCTGAGATAACCCATTGTCTTGACCACGTTTGCAGTTCACTGCAAAACAAAGGTTATATTAGCACAATAAAAGAATAAAATTTAAATCAAACGACCTTGACTTGTTATTAAACATAAAAAGCTAAAAATAATACGGTGTCAAAATAACAAATATACTGATTATCATGTCAAGTCATAATTTCAATTTTATTGACAAAGAATTAAGTGTTAATTTTTAGTAATATGAATGAACTGAGAAACCTGCCTTAAAAAAGTATGTATGATATTCGTTTAATCTTTTGTATAATCATTCCCACGGTGTGAAAGTTTTCCCAAGCTCCAACGGATGAGTTATGCTAACAAGTGTTTAGCTTTGTAAACGATTTTCCTCACATCTATCTTCCTTCATTCTTATAACTAACATATTTACTAACATATTTACAATATGTTCACAGATCTGTTTAACATCATTTGTCTAATAAAAGTGCTGAAAACATCCTCTTTTTCTGAGTAACAGAAATCAGTCATATTATTCACTAATGTGAGCTGAATTATATACCATTAAATGTAGACAAATGCTCAATGACGTACTTTTCTGTGGGTAATAATTCTTCCAACCAAAGTACCTGATAGAAATGATTGAGTAGAAGTGGTTAGATTAAGAAGTTTACCATTGCTATAATACCACTGTAAAGATCATATTCCTATGACGAAGTTTATTTTCTTCCACACGGTATTTCGACAGCTACTGCTATCATTATCAAGTGAAAAGAATTGACAGACTGTACAACTAACAGATTCACACCATATATATAAGCGTCTCTTGTGCTTTATATATATGGTGTGAATCTCTGTTAGCTGTACAGTCTGTCAATTCTTTTCACTTGATAATGATAGCAGTAGCTGTCGAAATACCGTGTGGAATGAAATAAACTTCGTCATAGGAATATGATCTTTACAGTGGTATTATACTTTATTAAACTTCAAAGTTACCTGCTATCATCTTTCTGAAGATCTCGATTGGAAAGACTACATGAGGCAAATTGCTTTGACATACAAGATGCTGACGCAATCAATCGAATTCTTAGCAATAATTCATAGCCTCCTCATCGCCATCTATTTAAAAACTATCTTCTCTCAAAAATGAATAACTATTGCTCTGTCTTTAACAATATTTATAGTACTCGTCCGAGCCTTGAGAAACAAACAGATGTCCTGTTACTTGATTATGTCTAAATTAGACAATACTAAGAATAGTAGCAGTTCACCCAATAAGTAGGTGTTTCTGATTTAAAAATTTCATACAAGTATTTTCTGTTAGTTTAATATGACTACATAGTGAATCATTATTCTAGCCTAGCTGCTCAGGAGCTCGTATACTGAAGACGCGCTGTGCACGGAGAATCTCTTACTGCAACTCAGTAGTTGCTATGTGTTCTCTTTCAAAAAAAAATAATACTACGACAATTGTATCATAGTCGTCCTTCTTCTGACAAGCTACACATGGTTAGACCAGTCTTTTACTTTCTTCAGAAACAGTATAGCTTCGTCTTTAGTGTAAAAACTTTTAAAATACATTTAAAAAGCCACATTAGTCTGGTGCATTATCTGCCCTCTTGATTTTTACTACTTATAAGGTAATGTATACGTTTGTCCATGTATATATAAACAACTCTATGTATATATATACAACTCTCACTGTTATTCATACATGTTGCGCTATATGTGATGGTACGTATGGTGTATGAATGAAAGTGTGAAGTGGGCATTGGACTGACCAGCATGTATGTGTTTCTTCGACAAGAATGTACAACATTTTATGGAATGTCTACTCGGCCTGTATACATAACGATCCACTTTTCCGTAAGTCAGTCACGTTTTATCAATATTATAGTTTCTGCGAGAAAAGCGCTTACAGAGTCTCATTTGAAGAGCAAACATTTCTCTTTAAAATGATAATTAAGCGAACGTGGATGACTGAATGGATTTCAAGATAAAGTTTTTGAAACAGATGCCACATCTTTGGAATAAGGCGTTCAGTTTACAGTCTGTATATGACCGCAGTGCTAACTATTAGCGTTTGCTTAATTATCATTTTAAAGAAAAATGTTTGCTCTTCAAAATGAGACGTCTTCGAGCTGTGTAAGATCTTTCCTCACAGAACTAGAATATTGAAAATATGCGACTGATTTATGAAAAAGTGGATCGTCCCGTAGACAGGCCGTGCTGATTATTTTTACTACTTTGTACATCAATAGCTCTTTTTATGTCGAATAAATGAAACTAAAAATAGAGGTGTTAATTACTTTGGTAAATGAAGAGTGGAATGTAATAGGAAAAAATGTAGAGAAATTTTCTCCCTTCGGAAGGTGTGGTTTATCTGTACATATACGAGTATATACGTGTGTAAAAAGTCGACAGCTGGTCTGATCGTTAACTGAAACTCACGTACGTAAAATCTGAGGTCCTCTTTAGTGGTTCATGATATACGTTACACTTCACTGCGAAAGACCTTGTGCAGTCCAATATTTAGTTAGTTGTCTTGAGGATTCCGATTACTAAAGACTTATCAAGAGATGAAACCTGCTATTAATACCTAAACTTTCTCCTTGCTTTCTTCAGCAATTGAATATGTCTATTTCAGTCTCACATCAAACCAGTAAACTTTCGCTTTTTGAATGGGAAAAATGTTTTTTTATGAATCTTTGTATTATTTGATAATTCTTTTACGTATATCAAAAAGTGAAATAAATTCAAATGGGATATGTGTAATAGAGAATCGTACAATGACATTGAATATATGTGAAATACCTCCTAAATTAACGATACCCGTCTGTGTTGGTTTATGTGAAACAAATAATCGTTATTCTTTTGATTATCATCAATTTTTTACACGAACATCATCATGCACAGTTACAAAACATACAACTGAAATATTTGTCTGTGAAGATAGTACTCACACTACTGTAAAATTAATGATCCCTATAGAGTGTTCATGTTCAAAACGTTATTGTCGACATCAAAACAGCTACAAAGGTAATCGCAAATATGTACCATGAACGAACAAAAAATAGTAATCGATTTTTTTTATATCAATATGAAAAGTTTTGATGTACTTAGAAGTCTTTTGAAATATACCTAAATTTTGTTCCTTTCATACTACAGAGTAAGATGCTGTAAATAATTTCCGGCACCCCTAATTCGCAATTTTCTCGATCAGAACTCGACTTTTACGCAATGAAAATATCATATTCGGAATCAGCGTCCAAAAATCGAGTCGAATGATGTACTTTTTTTACCACTAAGATTTTTCATCAAAAAATGAAAATCCACGAAAACTTTTTAAATATGTAACATTCGACTCGACTTTTGACGCTAATTCCGAATATGATATTTTCATTGCTTAAAAGTCGAGTTCTGATGGAAAAAATTGCGATATAGTAGCAGAATTCCCATTTTCCCCAGTAAAGCCGACTTTTCTCAGTAAGGAAACAGAATTTTTCAAAGCCGAGCTACACTTTTACTGGCTGTCAAACGACAATTCGAGTGATATATGAAAATCGGAGAAAGCTTTTCAAACAAAAGACTACATAGGTTTGCGAGAACAGGGTGTCACTCTGCCCCTGAACAGTTCTAGTCGTGCTTGCTCAAGGAGAAGGTCATGATAAAATTCGCTCTTCCCTACATGAACCTACTCAGTTTTTTCATGCTGAATCCGAATAACTTAGTTGTATTTCGATAACTTTAAACTGGTGAAATCTTGATTTTTCTGGTCAACTTTTCATTTTTAGAGGGGTAACGTGTATTTTCAAGATTTCTCACCCAAAACGTGGTTTACAAAAATTTAAAACCACATATTCGGAATCAGCTCGTCGAGCTCTATCGAACCATTTATATTTTAGTCGAAAACGTTTTCTGCTCTTCATTTGCATTCCCGGCACCTTAACTTCTCTCGAATAATTATACAAAAGAATACATATGACAACAATTCTCTTGTTTCATTATTTTGACATCTTGATAACATAGCAACTGGATAATGATGGGCTAAATAAAATTCAAAGGAAAACTTTTAAAATTATGTTACCTTTGTTAATAATCATTACTTACCTCCAATAATATGGTTCATATTGTAATCGTCTCTATCTCTTAAATCAACAATCAGATAGGGTCGTTCTTCATATTCAAGATCACATTCTTCCATAATAGGTTTTGGACGTCGCTGATTATAAATATCCATTTCTCCTACACCTCGAATGACACTAAATGAGATCGAATTATATAATTTATATAGTGAAGGTTAGAATATAAAACTGACTATTCACCTTTGTAACGTTGATCTTGAAGTTTCCATAGATATCTGACTACCTTGGGTGTGAAACCGTGATGAATTATTTCCGCCATTAGTATTTTCCTCGTTGATACTATCTGTGAACGTCATTTGGGATGCTGATGGATCTATTCAAGAAAAGAAATTATTTTTTGTTTTGTTTCGTATAAAGAGTCCTTAAATATACCAAATGTACTCTTCGATGGACTATCAAGAGAATTAATTTCACAAACTTGTATTATCTAAAATGGAAAATTTAATAATTAACAAACATAATTTTGACATCTACTAGTGTGATTCATACCAATTGAACGAGAGTATTAATTTTCATACGTTTAAAAATTTCTCCAGTTTTTTGTTTGCTACCTTAAATAGAAAAATTGGAATATGAACAAGGAGGGTAAATGGGATGAACTTTTTTGTCTTCACGTCCAGATGAATAGTTTCAGAAACATATTCTACCCCCATTCTCCAAGACGAGACAATCCCGTCCATCTTTGATATGAACATAATTCTTAGATGTCGAAATGATTTTCTTTTTACTAATAACCAGACCATTTGAGATTATGTCTCCCTCTCTTTCATTATCTAATGTATGACACGTATTGATTATTCGATAGTGCTTCATTCTGCGAAGACTTTTATATTTTTATTTATCGGACGCTAGTTTAATTCTGAACTGTATTGTTTTAAAGCGAGAGTTTTTATTTGAATGCTGGACAAAGATATGATCTGAAAGACTGCTAAACTATTTGCCTATTGTATTAGTCTTTGAGAGAACTAGGCATGCACCAGTATTTATTTTTCACTAGACAGACGGATATCAAGTTTTTTTATAACCAGAAATGATTGTTTTTGATTTAGAATAATTCTATATCTGAAAATAGTATTCTCGCAAGAAAAAAACTTTTATTTTTAACACTTTTAAAAAACATGCATGAGACCTTCCTTAGATGAAATTTTTGATCGGATAAAAATATCTAAGAAGATACTTGACAACTACATCGTTCAATGTAGTTTTGCGCACTGATTCCGAGGAAACGTTCTTGAGCTCACTACATTGATCACACATATAGGACAAGTTAGGTAGATTTGAAAATAAATGTTTCGCTCCGGGATTGTATGTATGTTCGACTGAGAAATCTCTTCACTGGTATGCCTCCAAAGGAGTCGCGATTCTGAATCTAAATCATTTTTACTTATATTTGGTTGGGTAGAATAAAAAGATTATTTTATCGTATAGCACTGTATTTATACGCTAGTTTCCAGCTAAGTATTTTTCTTTGATCCATAACAGCTGGGACAAAACGTCTCACGACAGTAGTTAGCCCGTTTCTCAACGTATTATTTCCCCTGTCTCAATCCTGAAAAAGCGTACCTTCGATTTTAGGTTAAATGTATGCCTCGATGCGCACTGTGCCACGATCGCTACGGTTTATGACTCTTTTTCAAGCGATTTTGCAGCAAAAAGAAAAGTTTCATTCGTTGGAGAAATCTTTGCTCTACAAAATGGATTCGTCAAAAAAATTTAATAATTAACTTTAAATGTATTTTGTAATCAACATGATTACAAAAAAGGGAGAAATATACCTATACATATATACCGGTGCATGCCTAGAGAGAACTGTATAATACAGTTTCTGTCTTTTTGTGAAAAGTAGAGCTCAAACTGCATTTAGTTACTGCCTAGCAAAAATTCTAAAAATAGATTGTGTCAGAGTTTATTAACTAAAATTTTATTAACACAAAAAATTTTAAATTTTAATTTATTCTCTTGTTCACCTGTTAATTTTATCGGTATTTCATTTTTGGGATGTAATTGAATTCGTAATTTTTGAACGACAGACATGACTTTAATTATAATTAGTGAATTCACGAACAAAATTGTTACTTTTTTTTTCAAAACTTTTTATGTTTTCTTTACTTGTAAATATTTCTCTTATAATATGACGATGAAACTACTGCACACTTGTAACAAACAGATTAGAATTAAGTGTATAACGTGTGACACGTAAATGATTTGTGTTGAAGACGAATACAAATAAATTTTTTTGTAAACCAATCTACATCAATTGATTTTTAATATAGATTTCAAGAGCAAACGCTTTTGAAAAAAGAAAAAATATTAATCAATATTCTGAAAAAAAAATTTCTTTTGTATTCTTTTAATAATATGTTGTTGTATGCAATTTGAGATAAATTTTATTTTTATGAATAAAACATTCATACCATTGCAACTCGTTTTTGTGTCAATAGTTATAAGAAGAATTGAAAGGTAGGTTGAACTGTCGAAAACATAACTAATATGATCAATTCAAAAACTTTTCTTTTATGACACAAAGCTTCTTTTTTAATCACAGGCGCTAAATAATTCGAGTCTGATACAGACTGTTCAGCTTAAAATAACAGACGATAATATAAAAGACTTAAGAAGTACTTCCAGATGATCAGTGATCAAAAACAAAGAACTCCTGTATCACTACTAAACAATATTCAACAAAGATAGCTATCACACACTATGATATATAATTAGTCAACCGATATCATGCAACGAGCAATACAAACTTACATGCACGTATTTCCTCCGCCTTTTGTAAATATTTTGTCAAACTTGCACCTAAAAAACAAAACAATCTTTGAATTTGCAAGAAATAAATAAATAATGGATGAGTTTACCCGTGTCAATTGTTGATTTTACGTTTTCATACTTTGGGTTCCGTGGAATTCGTCTATCAAATACCTGAACAAACTAAATCCCTTACAGAAAAATTTAGAATATTATAATTTAACTTACGTTCATTGTTTTTGGACGTACTGATGTTATCACTGACATGATTAAAATTGTTATATATCAAAAAATCAACTTATCAATTCATCTAAAATACACGTTAAAATGAAAAAATATAGATAATGTCTTCAAGAGAAGCTAGAAAAATGACATCGTTAACAGATTCAATAATAAATAAGCAAATTCAGAGAATGATAACCGAAATAACAAGACAATAAATGAGTTTCTAAAACATTGAACCTTTCAAACGTTTTAGTTCTTTTTAAAAAATGAAACATCAATCTTTGTGTCTAAAAATATCAATATCATCGTTAAAACCAAGTCAAAGAATTTATTCTAAACAAATCAGCCAGACCTTTGTTTCACTAGTCTTCTAGTATTAAAAAACGTGTCATATACTATAATGGAAGTTATATTACGATGTAATTAAAATTTAGGCTTGAGCTAAGTTTTAGCATGTAATTATCCTCTTTTTGTTATATTCCTATCACAGCATGGGTATCTGACACACATTATTGATCGTGAGCTGCTATTGGCTATGCACGTTTTAAGTTGAGACATATATGAAAGAAACGCCATAGTATCTTATTGTATCCTCTCAAACATGATTAACGTACGCGCTGGGATCGATCAAGCTAATTCTATTCTGATATGAAATATAAAGAAAACTGTAGCTTTATTGCTGGATAAGAAAATACAAAACACAAACTACTGATAGGTGACATAATCTATCATCGAGATGCAAGCGCCACTGTCATAAGAAAATATTTTTTAGTAATCGGAGAAATAGTTTCACTAAGAATGCAGCATAAGCAGTGGAGCATTCTAACACTTAGTGCAGCTCGAAATTATTTGCCATTCGAAGGTAGTATGAATTTACAAAAATTTCTCATCAGAGCTATTATTGAAGAGAGCTTATTCGCCGGCTATCTCAAAAGATTCAAAAATTCAAACTTTAGAGTTACAATATTTATAGAGATGTTTTTTCACCGCAATTGTTTGTTCCTTAGTGAAACTTCTTGTATCCAAGATCTTGGCCAACATCTTGGGTTAAGAGATGTCACAAGGTCTTGGAAAAAATACCAAGAAGTCAAGATCTTGGATTCTTGAATCTTCCACTCAAGATCTTGGAAACAGAAATTTCAAGATCTTGAGTGAATCCACTTAAGATGTAGTAAGAGCCTGAGTAAAAAAATTTTTTATGCTTTTTTCTGATTTATGACAGTCATAGCCATATGATGATAAAGAGCCATCGTTTCTTACTACAACTATGGTCAAGCCGCAAAAAAATTTTAAGTTATTCTAAGTGTGAAAATATTCGCACTTATATTTACACAAGAGTGTAAAACAAAACGATGATTTAAGAATTTTCAAGATTTTGGTACAAGAAGTCAAGAAATTACAAGATGTTTAAGATCTTGACTTCTTGAAATTTCTTGAATTCTTACATTTTCTTATCAAGAAGTTTCACTAGGGTTAGCATTAATTTTGATTTCCAGAATTCATGTAGAAATTTTTCTGTTTTGAATAATTAAAAGTCATAACCCTTTAGCGGAGAAATTCTCCGCTAAAGGCTTATAAGTTTTAATTTTATTTCTCGGAAAAATAAAATTAAAAAGTAAAAAGTCAAAATCGTCTGTTCGATTACAGTAAGTGAAAGATATTTCAGAGTTCAATTCCAAACAGTATCAAGACATTTTTCTCATACAAAGGCAAATCGATATTGTCTAACTCCATTTATCATGACTCAATTCTCTAAATGTTTGTGCCACTGTTAGTTTTGGCTTAGAACGTGAGAAACCAGCTAATGTTAGAAAGTAAAACTACACAGTTGGTTGCAATTAATACTTTTTCATGCCATATGAATACGCCAACATTGTTAATATCGTTTGAGTTACAAGATTACATATCAACTTGTCCTGTTTCTTCATGAATGAAACCGGTCTTTGGAGGCCTAGCTGTCCGTCCCATGTCGGTATTCAGAATCAGCGTGGTCGATTATCTATCATCCACTAGGTTTCGTCTCAAAAGCAACTGGACAGTTGGTGGACCTCTCTCGTCAAATGCCACCAAATAAGAAGATTAAAAGCTAAAATTTGAACGCTAATCATGAAACTACAATAGCCATTAGGTGCCTCTACTCGCTGCATAGGAACTATTTGTTCCGTGTCTTTTCTAGATCCACAGACGTTTCTAGAACCCATCAGTTCCAGACAGTCTAATCAATGAGAAGTCA